TTCACATCTCCGTGAGGAAAGAACATTGAGTGAATTCATTACATGAACCACTTCAGCTGAGCCAGGAGCTTAAACTATATTCCTCAAATGTGTGCACTCCACAAAATGGGCATTTAACATCAGGCATCAGTGACCAGTCAGGCTAGAAAACTTCCATGAACCAATTATTCTATTTTTTTTTTAATTTTTTAAACAGATTTAACTTAATTTTTTTTTTTTTTGGCGGGCGGGCAGGGGGGATGGAGAGAAACATTAATGCACGAGAGACATCAATCACCTTTCAGTTTGCGGGCCAGCGCTCAATCCACTGGGCCACACCAGCCAGGGCTCACGAATCAATGATTCGAAGCAAGAAGTACTTCTCAGGGTATACGTTTGCCAACTCTTACTTTTCTCCAATCATTTCTGGAGATTAGCTTCATGAGAGAGCGTGATGTCAGGGTTGCAGGTCTGAGCCTGGCACACAGCTTCATGAGGCAAAGACTGAAATGTGTGGTGCTGGTTACAAAGGGGAATAAGCAAAGCGGGCACAGCCTATCTCCATTACTAAAAATAATTGAATGCTAAGTTAAATTGTAAAAATGTAACTGGAAGAATATGCTCTGAACTTATCTGTTCATCATGACTGTCTTTGGGAGGTGGCTTTTTAAGAAGGGATAGTCACTTCCTATTTTTTTCCCCCCTTCAAAATTTGGAAAGTGGAAGTGTATTATATTGGTGAACAGACATGAATAAAATTTAAAGTGGATTGGGGTTAGTGATAGTGTTCTTAGATAAATTGAAAATTACAATGAGGTTGGTAAAGAAAACATGTAACAATTTTCTACTCTACACAACAAATACACTTGCATTTGCTATGTATGGAACAGGGTAGGTAGTCCAATAGAATGTCAGTGATGGATATGATTTGTATCTGTGGCCCAATATAGGAGCCACTAGCCATATGTGGCTACTGAGTACTTAAATGTGGCTAGTCCAACTAAGGACCTTAATTTTTAAATTTTATTTAAACTCAAATAGCTGCGTATGGCTATGTTATATATACTGTTTTTGGACAGACAGGTCTAAAACCTTTCATTTGCTGGGAATAAGAGTGTCAGCAAGGGCAGGGAGAGAAGACCAGACCTGGAAGCCAAAAGATTTACATGTCATGTACTGTTTCGCTGTCTATCCAGTAGAGATAGTCTGTGTACTCTTTTTCTGTAAATGAAGTGAGAGGAGACACTAATTTACACTTGTAAAGGCAACAGCATTAACTTCAACACCCCGTTTACATCCCCTGTAACTTTCAAGTGCTCCACTGATAGAAGAGGGAACTGACCTACTAGAAAAGCAGTGATCTCATTCATCTAAAAAATTTTAAATGTCTTGTAGTTCTTATAAACTCCCCTCTATTATCTTGTTTTCAATGTTCTTGTTTTGAGACTTCTCCCATTAAACAATCAGCCATTCGGTATATAATTTTCTTCTCAACTTTTTTAGAATATCCGTAAGATTAGTATATGTAAGTTCCCTAATACATGGGACTGGGTTGAAATTGCAGTGTAATGTAATATACCTGCACAATTTGTTAAGCTGATGATAAAGGTTAAAGTGGGTTGAGGGGTGGGGTGTGAGGGAAGGCGGGTGTCTCAAGAGAACCGTACTGGTATGGTCAGCTAAACTACAGCAAGATTTTTTTTCCCAGTTGTCATCTTGACTGGTGTATAATGTCTGTCAGCTGCTGGCAACTTTTCCAAGAAAGCCGATTATGATAGTAAGCTATGCCCCTTATCTTGCTAATTTCACCCCAATGTTGGAACCAGAAGTTCAATAGCGAAAGCTAGAGCTGCCAGATACCAGCAATAGAATCGCAGGAGCAATCAGAGTCCTTTACAAATGGCAGTAACAACCCCATCGACTTTTCTTCCTTCAGCAAGGCCATCTATCACATTTGCCCTCAAACGTACTGGTAGAACCACCAATCCTCTGATTTGGCTTCCCAGAGAAAGCAGTTGTTTGGCCTAGTGATTTATTAACACCAGGTTGTCCTGTCTTACTCTTGCATTTGAACCCAAACACCTTGACCAGTTTGCATGCACTGGGGTTGGCACAAGAAGGCACAGTCCATTTTGGTTGGATATTTTGCACTCACAAAAGACAGTTTTATAAATAAATCAAAAACAATTCTGAAATGCTAAACGTACATTAGGTAAGTTATTATTCAGCCAAAAATAATCAGCTGTCTGTAAGTATAGATTCAGCTCTATATATTGCCAAAAGCTTGTTTTTCTGACTTGCTGAGAAAAATATCACTAACCCTACAAATATTGCTCCAAGTCTTTCTCATAACATTCTAGGACCTTTTTGCATAATACAATAGAAGGGATTTATTTGAAGCTATAGAACTCCTCTTAAAACTCTCAAATTGCACACTAGAGAGCCATATTTAGAAATTGTCAGTTAAGGATTCATCCACCACTGCCCACTGTTCCCAAAAGGCTTCATTGCTTTACATTACTAAAAAATAATAAAATTCTCTATAGCAAGTGTGAACACATTCATCTTTTTATCATTCTAATTTCCACTAAAATTTTAAACCAAGAAATATTAGGGACAAGGCAAATCATTAAATATGTTTAAAGCCTTTGCCTGGGTAGAGGCTGACTATATGGTCTTCTAATTGTGGAAACCTGACAATTAGCTGGCGGAACACAGGTCTTGGACACTGTCAAGCTTGGGTTAACCACTGGTTCTGAATGTTATTTGCAGTATTAACTATTTTACCTAATTTTTCTGAGCCTGCTTTCTCATCTGTAAAGTATATTACCTATGATAGGGAGCTATTTGGAAGACAATAAACTAAAACACCTGACTCAAAAAAGTTTGGATTAAGACCTTTAAAGATCAGGACTATGGTGCCCAAATCAGTCAAGATATTAGTAGAAAAAAGAGAACACACTCAAACTGGGTGACTTGAAGAAGGTTTAATAAGAGACTATTTACAAAGACATGGGCAGAGTTCAGGGAAACCAACAAGGAATATATGGAACAACCCAGAGCTAGTAAAAAAAAGTCATCTTTTCTGTCCCTGGATTTTAAGGGGCAAAGAGAAGGAGCTAGAAGCTAGAGAGGGCTGCTTAATAGGAGTCATGGTCTTTGGTAGAGGGACATAGATAACCCATGTGAGCTAGCCATGAGGAAGGCAGGAGAATAAATTCCCTGACCTTCCTCTTCTCATGCCTTTTGATCTTCTGAGGGTGTTACTATGGTAATGGGATCAACACAACTTAAAGTGACAGAGCAAAGGAGCCTGTTAATGTCATCCATGTGGGTCAACTCCTGGGGCCCAGAAGAGGATGAAGTAGTTCTGAAGGAAAAATGGAAGATATTCGGCACAACCTCTCCCTCAACATAATTCAAACTACTAAATTATTATACACAAAACTTGCATGTATACTGAAACTAAAATATTTTCTTTCCAGAACTTCCCTACCCCCGGGGGGGACAGGGGGAGAAGAAAGGTGGAGGGAGAGAGAGAAGGGGAAAATAGATAGAGAGGGAAGGAGACTCCCCAGAAATTCTGGTTAAGTTCTTTTATTAAAGCAGAATTCTTCTCAGTTTTGTCTTTTTTTTTTTTGTGGCTCTGCTTTGCAGGCACCTTAAGCACATGCCTAGACAGCCTAGCAGGGGTGTCCAAACTTTTGGCATCTCTGGGCCTTACTGGAAGAAGAGTTGTCCTGGGCCACACATGAAATATATTGTGAAACATAATCACAAAAAAATCTCAGAACATTTTAAGTAAATTTATGATTTTGTGTTGGGCCGCACTGACAGCCACCCTGGGCATCACGCAGGCTGGACACCCTGGACAGGAAAGCCCCGAGCGCAGCTATTCTACAAGGAAGCCTCGATGGTCTCAACTGCTGAATGTCCACTCCAAGGAGTTCTAAGGTTTTTGAGAATCCAGAACTAATTTAGAAGGAATCTTAGGGTTTTTCTGTTTAGGTACTATTCATTAGGAATTTAGGAACTGGATTTTCTTAGATTCGAAAAATCCTATGGTAGTAAAATTTATAATCCTACTGAATGATAGGAAAGTTTTCAGTTTCTTATCAAAGAGATAAAAGAAATCAGGACATCAATTTCACATTGACATTTTTATTAACGCCAACTGTTTTTTTAATTATTATTTTTTTAAAACAATAGCACAAAAATGTTTCAAGGAAGCAGTCTCACAATCTGATGACCTTCTGAAATACAGTTAAGCCACACCAAATATGAATTCCTGTTAATAACACAAAAATATTTTTAAAAGAAAAATAAAAGGAAAAGGGAAAAAAAGGAAGAACCATAGGGACAGAGAAAGGAATGAGACTTAGAGTTAAAACTCACTGGATTAGATAGGTGAGGCTTGTTAGTAGGATACACTGTTGAACCAAAGAGTGGCACACCACAGGCTTATAGTCTTTGTTGCTGTTTTTTACCAGTTACCACTAATATACAGGCCCTATAGCAGTTACCACTGACTTCTTACATGCCCAAAATGAACCAGAAGAAGCCAGTGTTGATACTGTCATAAAGAGGTTTCACAGTTGGCCTAAGACAACTAAGACCATTTTCAGCAGAATAACTCCTTCAGAAAGGTCTGGCTGAAAACCTTTTCATTTCTATTGTCTCACCTATATGCCTTTCAGGGTTCTTAAAAGTCATTTAAAAAGAAAGAAAAATAATAATGTATATCAGTTTCTCTTATTTAATGTGGCTATAAAAGATGTTTCCTTATTATTTATCTCTGAGAAGGACACCGGGGATGGGTGCTGGGGGTGGAACTAAGGGGAGGAAAAAACCCAGACCAGGATAGGTCGTTTCTTTTGTTTTTCTTTTCTTTCTTTTTTTTTTTGGCCAAGGGGTCACACAGAAGGGAAGGCAAGGAGGAAAACTACAATCCTTGGTTTGGATTGAGTTATGCAGGAAAATATGTCTTCCTAATCAGTCCCCATGCCAAAAAAAAAAAAAAAAAAAAAAAAAACCCAAAAACAAAAACCCAACCCACTTGGAATTATGCACAGATTCTGCCTATGTTATACCAGCTATCAGCCTTTCGTGTTTACCCATTCCCCGCAATGGACACTACCCTTGGCGTGTAGGCTGCTTGCAGAACCCACTTCACAAAAATCCTTTTCACCCAGAAGCCTCTAGTTTCCTTTTGGTACGTTATAAAAACAGAACATCTGTCATTAACAGGAGAGTGTTAAATACTTTTAACCACTGACAAGGCTTCAGGAAGTTTCACAGTTTCATTATGCTCTATTTTATTACTATCATATTTACATTTTTATTTTTATTATGTTCTTTTTTTTTTTTTCTGAATTGCTGATTTTCCTTTTTCAATAGATTTTAATTCTGGAGTGTGAGCAGAAACCAGTTAACTACATTCATTGTCCAACCCCCACTGGTTTGAAAGAAGACTCCAAATTCTTGGTATATGAATCAGCTGTTCGGTAGCTCCACCTTATCCCTGCAGCGAAGCAGCAGAACCGCAGTGGCGGCATGCTCAGGGTTCACGCTGTGGGTGGCGAGGACTTTCGCTGAAGGAGGTACTGGTGGATGCTGTCAGCATCTCGCTTTAGCCAAGCAGCATTTAGTAGGATATTTTCACAACACTGCTGGATGGTACGCTCAGCTGAAGGAGCTGGATGACTCTCGAAGAAAGCCTGATATAAAACAATTCAGAATGTAGGATCATTACTAGCAATGGTAAGAGGTTAGCTCCACAGGTCATGAAAAAACACCCACTGGTCTATAAAGGATTCATAAGCTTCACTCTTGACAATTTAGCACTGCGACTCCTAGGCAAAAAGAAAAGCAGCAGCTCCTTGAACCTGCCTATGGGAATTCTCCCCTAAGTATTATATGCTTAAAACCTAATCAAAAGTTAATAGTAAAGAGGCAGCACTTAACAACCTTTCTTTTAGGCTCACTGACCAGTGGTTAATCTAGTCTTTGGAATAAGGCTAGAGACTTGAACCTAGGCTCGATCATGTACTACTAGCCTATGACTTTGAGTTAATTAACTGCTCTACGTCTGTTTTCTCATCTATGAGAAAATATTTAGCCCAGAAGATTAAAGAGACAACCCATATAAATGACCAGCATAATACTTGGCACAGAGTAGTTAGGACTCAACATATTTTGGCTGCTTCAAATAAGGATTTGTAAGGGATGATAAAACCAAGAAGCTTACATTGCTGCTATACCCTAATAATTTAATACTCCACTGACTCACGTTTTTCATACAATAAAACTATCCCTGATTTTATTATAATTTATTACAATGATTACTGATTCAAGATTGAATTCATTTTCTAATGAAGTCTATCTGGTTTCACAGAAAACAAAGCCAACTCTTAAATACCAACCAGCAAAAGGATGGGGTCTTTTCTTTGAACTAGCAGTTACTAAAAGAGAGAATGACTAATTCATCAGATTAAGCCTAGACCTTTAAAAATCAATAACCTTATTTACATAGATGACAATAGCTTCTGCTCCAAGGCTCCTTATCATGGTTAAAATTCTTAGGGCCCAAGTAAGATACAAGACTCACTTGTGTAACAACACTACCATTTATACAAGAGAAACCTGGGAATTATCCTTGACTTTCTCCCCAGCCTCCAGATATGTGCACAACACAGAGAAACCACTCAGTAAATATTTGTTGAATTAAAGATTAACAAAATTAGGCCCCTAAATCTCTCTAATTACTCCACCTCCTCCAAGCTACTATATATCATTCTTGCTTGAAGGGTTAGCTTCCCAACATCTTCTTTTTCCCCTTTTCAAACTATTTTCCACGCTGCAGCCAGGCTGAAATTTTTATAATACAAATCAGATCAAGTTGTTCCTTTGTTTATAAGCCTTCAAGGCCTTTCCATACTTTGGAAAATTTTAATATGGCCTATAAAGTCCTCCATGGTCAGGCTTCTACCTACCTATCTTACCAGCCTTGGCTTGGCCATTGCCTGCCCCTCCAAACCCATTATATGTATTTCTCCTTCAGAGTACTTATCTTGACAATAAATTGGTTCCATAATACAATGCACCATACTAAATGAAGGCAGAGATCAAATCTTTCACTGTTTTCTCAAGATCTGAAATCTTCCAACCTTATTCCTGCCAATGACTCAGAGAGTGAACCAGGTGTGGAATTTTCAAATCCACATCTGATAACCTCCTTGCCTTTGAAAAAATGAGAGTGAAAATGACACTTTATATAAATACTTCATAATTAAATGCAACGGAAGGCTTAAAGTTAAGATTTCCTAAACAGTGTAGATTCTCCCCCAAATGCTGAACTTTACTACCATACTGATTATTAATCTTTTAAAGGCTAACAGGGAGAATTCCTACATAGCCACTTAAATAGATTATTAGAAAGAGAAAAAGAACTACTATCAAGAACCTACTCTGTTCCAGCCCCATAATGTTACTTAATCTAAGTAACAATATTATCATCACCCCATTTTACAGATAAAGAGACAAACTCATAGGGGTTAAAAAACTTGAAGTCAAACAGCCAACACAGAGCAGAGCAGAGCTTTACACCCAGGTCAACTGATTCCAAGTTTCACATTCTTTGAACCATATTTCAGCTCCCTCAAAGATGATTCCAACTCTAAATTCTTCAGGCATTAAAGAATCAACCTAAGCTGTCTTTCTCCAAGCAAAAAAAAAAAAAAAAAAAGGAGACACTAAAGTACATTACCCCAACATGCTATGATTATAGCATGGTTAGTGCTTTTGTTTACTAGATTGAAAAGTGAGAAGTTAACAGTAGTTTCCTTACCTTAACCTCTCCAGCCATTTTATCAACTGCAAACCCCTCAACTGATAGCTGGAAAAAACAATGGTTTAAATAGTAAGTGCAACTAAAAGAGGCTTGGAACAAACTTCATTCACCCTAAAAACTATTCTATTTTCTCCCAACTTCAGTTTGTTCTAGAGGGTGTAGGATGGGTGATGGAGAAGCCCTTTAATAAAGCTAATAACTAAGTAAACTCTTAAAGAGCAAAGACCATAATCTATGGGTCTAGTGAATCATGAAGGTCTCTCAATAATATCCATGATGAGCAAGTTACTCGAAATAAAAATCTTCACATACCTTTATTAGTCTGGATATTAAGAATCCTCCCTGGTATCGATTATAAAGTTCTTCCCAGTTGTCCTTTATAAATTTCCAAGCAGCCTTCCTTCCATGCTTGCTGCCTCCAGCTACTCCACCAATTACTGATACAGTGTCCTGTGGACGTACATCTTCCTAAAAATATAAAGAGAACTAAAAGTCTACTGTATCCAAAACACCTTCTGGTGCCAGAAATGGCAAATGTTGTTGAGGTATCCAAGTAGTTGCACTGAAGATACTTGTTCCCTGTTTTAGGAATAACTGGCACTAGAAGCTTCCAACAAAGGGGACATTTAACCTAAAGATCATCCAACTTGAGAATGAGGCATTGAGATAAGTACAGACAGGCCGTTCAACAGATACTTCCTTGGGCTTCTTCTACAGGGTAAAAAAGGGAAGAGACAGAAAGTAGGCACAGGAATAAGTCAGCTTTCCAGTATATTTCCTCTCCCAACTATTTTGACTCTCACCGTTAGAGGAAAATATAGAGATCAGTAACAAGCTCATTCCAGTTTTCCTAGACCAGCAATTTTCAACTGATGTGCTGCAAGAATTTTTAAAACATGCAATACCTGACTATTTATTTAGTCAGGGGCACTGACCTCTTTTCCCTTAGATTGTCAAATAAAAAAATGACAACAGTCAAATACAACAATAGACACCAGTGTGAATGAAACAAAACTATACCTATTTTTTTTTTTTTTGCCAAATTGGCAAAAAATATATTTTTGGTGTGCCACAAAATTTTAGTAATTAGCTATGTGTGCCATGAGGTGAAAAAGGTGGAAAATCACTCTCCTAGACTAAGAGGAAGCCTTACTCTCTGGTTAAGACAAATCAAGAAGATACTGAATCAAGGACATCTGCCATACATCAGTGAGTAACAATTCCCTCTAAAAGTAGTTTTCATTTTAACTTACTGAAAGTGCAAATGTGAGGACTTTTTGAATCAATTCAGGTGAAGAAGTAGCCCCAAGGACTCTTTCAATTCTGTTTTTCTCTTCCTGCATATCTGCTTGTTTGTGAAGCTACAGTGAAAAAATAAAGACACAGATAGTTAATACTCCGGGAAGTTATGCATATGCTTATAAGACCTTCTTCCCCAATATGATGAAACTTTTGCTCTACATTCTCATTGGCTAAGATTGCAGGGTATGAAATTAACATAAGAATACTTTTCAAGTGAAAAATATATGATGCATTATTGAAAATAGCATTTTAAGAATGTTTGATGACATAAACATATTCTTGATATATTAAGTGAAAAAAGGAGAGAAACAAAGAAAAATTATTTTAAATTAAAAAAAAAGTAATGTGAAGGGGGAAAAAACCCTGGAAACATGTCAAAATGATAGCATCAATTAATACTGGTTTCTGATGAGTGGCATTACACATCATTACATTTTTATTTCTTTAAAGATTTTATCTATTTTTTAGAAAGAGGGAAAGGGAGGGAGTTAGAAAGGGAGGGAAACACTGATTAGTTGACTCCTGTACATGGGTCAACTGGGACTGAACCTGCAAACCAGCCATGTGCTCTGACCAGGAATTGACCCAGAACCTTTCACTTTGCAGGATGATGCCCAATCAACTGAGCCACACTGGCCAGGGCTTTCACTACATTTAAAACTGCAGTTAGCAGCACATGCCGAATATAGAAGAAAATAGAGAAGCATAAAGAAATAAAACCAAGCCCTGGCTGGTGTGGCTCAGTGGACTAAGCACCAGCTTGTGAACAAAAGGGTCGCTGGTTCAAGTCCCAGTCAGGGAATATTCCTGGGTTGTGGACCAGGTCCCCAGTAGGGGGCACTCAAGAGAGGAAACCATACATTGATCCCTCCCTTTCTCTCCCTCCCTTTCTTACTCCTTTCCCCTCCGTCTAAAAATAAATAAAATCTTTGAAAAAAATCGTTACTACTATATGTACTTTATCAAATCAAAAATAAGGTATCATATGTGCTATTTTTGTGACCTCATATTTTAAAATTACAGGTTTTGTTTTCTTCTTCCTGCTTTTCTAGTCTCTAAATCATTCACAGTTAATATATAAAATCTTTCTTCATAACCAGAAACAAGATTATATATTTTTAAAAATTAGAACTACAAATGTATATTAGATACCTTGCCAAGACAATTTAATTTACAAACTCTCAATCATTTTCACCCCCTGATGATTTAACACTGACTATTGTCTGGAGACCCCATCACAGCTACTAGTTTCCTCTTCCTTTCTTTTGGACTCTTGAGCAGCAGTGTAGTAAAATAGGTAGGAAGTCTTGGGAGACCTGGGTTCTAGTTCCAGTTTGCCTCTAACTAGCTGTGTAATCTTGACTAAGCCCTTAACCCTTCCAGGTCTCAGTTTCCTCATTTGTAAAATGAGTGGGGTGGACAGACAATTTCTAAGGTCCTTTTCAGGTCTAGTACTCTCGGTATGAAAAATGCTTTCAGGAAGCATTTTTTTCCCCCAAGGAGAACCTGTTACACTAGTCCACTAGGTGGCACCATAACACCCATTTCAAATATACTTTGAATTAAAGTTATTTTTTATCCTGCCTGTTTCCTAAATTACTAAAAAAAAAATCCTCCTCCATCTCTCAACAACTGTTTTTTTAAAAGAAGTCTGATTCTCTTTTCATGAGAATTCTTTCCATAGTAAAAGCTGAATTATTGTGAGCTCCCTTGTGTTAAACAGGTGCTAATTCTCATCAAATATACATATTAGTATAAATTCTTAAAAGTATGCCATGACATGAAAATGTCAAGGTATCTATCATGAAAATTTCAGAACCCCTACTTTGTCTCATACCCTTTATGAAATAGACAAAATGCACAAAGTATCTCATTTTGTATGCAAAGAAATATATGATTTATAGTGTGCACAGGTTCACAGAATATTTAGAATGAGAAGGGACCTTAATGTCATTTAGTTGAAAAGAAAACCCAAAGTATGCTTTTACATTATTAGGAAGGAAACCCTTATACAAGATGGTTAAAGGAGTGCATTTTGAGATACAGTGTCTTAAATAGTTAATATTTTTCAGAACATTTTAATCTTTTAAACAGGATTTGCTTAAAACTAAAATATTAGAAATTAGACTTGCAATTCTGATCTACTTGGGATCAGAAAGTATTCTGAATATATTTCAAGTTGAAAGTATAAAAGCACATCCCACGCCTATCCTATTCATCCCCGAGTGGAGATCTTTCAATAAATGGGCTTTATAGGTCTGATAGATTATTTGAGTATTTAGGCACATTTTGCACATTTTATTTTTATTTAATTTTTAAAAAATATTTTATTTATTTATTTTTAGAGAGGGGAAAGGAGGGAGAGAATTATCAATGTGTGGTTGCCTCCTGTGTGCCTCCTACTGGGGACCTGGCCCGCAAAACAGACACGTGCCCTAACTGGGAATCGAACAAGCAACCCTTTGATTCACAGGCTGGCACTTAATCCACTGAGCCACGCCAGACAGGGCTGCACATTTTATTTGATGGTAATAAGTAGACTCAGCTCCCTTCACCTCTAATGCAACCAATATAGTCAAGTTATTTCTTAGACTAATAACTGCATGGACAGGGACTAGAAATATCACCCGTTCCACAGTATCAGAACTTTCAAACAGGTCACTGCCATTGTAAGTACATGGAAAGTTCTGCCCATAAATTTTTTTAAGCCAGAGTTTAATTCAATGCCAACCACCCCGGGAAAACTACAGAGGCTATGCAGTCAGGTGAATTAATTTCTTCCCCATTCAATAAGAGGCACTTGCATAGTTCAAATCCTTGAGATACCTAATCATCTATCCCTTTTCTAAGCACAGAAACAAACCTTTGTTTAAAATAGGCAGCACACCAAGTAAGTTTACACTGAAGGGGAAAATTTTAAGAACTTCACTTGTTAATCAAAATTAATAAACATTTCAGTGTTAAGACTGAAGATACAGCCCTGGCTGGTGTGGCTCAGTGGACTGAGTGTCGGCCTGCAAACTGAAAGGTCACCTGTTCAATTCCCAGTCAAAGTACATTCCTGGTTTGTGTGCCAGGTCCCCCGTTGGGGACATTCAAGAGGCAACCGAGCAATATATCTCCCATCCATCAATGTTTCTCTCTTCTCCCGCTTTTCCCCTTCTCTAAAAAATTAAAAATTTTTCTTTACAGATTGAAAATACATAAGTAAAAATAAGTTAAAACATTGGATTTTTTTTTTAAAAAAAGGTTTTAGTTATTTATTTTTAGAGAGGGAAAGGAAGTGAGAAAGAGAGGGAAAGAAACATCAATGTGTGGTTGCATCTCACAAGCCCCCTACCAGGGACCAGGCCTGCAACCCAGGCATGTGCCCTGCACTGGGAATCAAACTGGCGATCCTTTGGTTCACAGGTCGGCACTCAGTCCACTGATCCACACCAGCCAGGGTGGATTTTTAAAAATATGATTTTGGAAGTATATATGAACAGGCTTTATATGGGGTATGTCCAGAAAGTATCCAGCCACGTCACATGAAAAATAAGGACATTTATTGAAGAAGATACAAGAAACACTGTATGCAGGACAATGACACCTCAGTCCCCTTCAAAGCAGGCACCTTGGGACCTCACACAGTTCTCCCAGCATCTCTCTTCCACTGTTCAAAACACTCTGCAAAATACTTTGTTGGAATCGCCATCCGTTGCCCATCGTATTTTCCCGAATCTCGCTGACAATCTGAAATCTCTTCTCTTTCAAAGATGATTTTAGTTTTGGGAAAAGCCAGAAGTCCCAGGACACCAAATCTGGGCTGCAGTGGGGCTGAGTCACCTGAGTGATTTGATGTTTCCCCAAAAAAGTCTGCATGATAGGGGATACATGAGTGGGCATGCTGTTGTGATGAAGCTGCCAATCACTAGCTGCCCATAGCTGTGGCTGTTTTAATCGTATTGCGTCTCTCAACCAAGAAGACCATTGAGGTAGTACTCCTTATTAATTGTTTGGCCTGGAGGGGTGTATCCATGATGGACAACACCTCCATAATCAAACAACACAGTTAACATGGTCTTGATCTTGCTGCAACTTTGCTGCACCTTCTGCGGGCAAGGAGAACCAGCCAAGTCATTGGGACATTTATTTCCCAATGGGTCTTTATTTCCAGAATATAGCCACTGACCCATGATTCACCTCCAGTTATGACCTTCTTAAGGAAATCTGGTTCATTGGTAAGTGGTTTGAATCAAGTCATTAGCAACTGCAGCATAATGTTCCTTCTGCTCTGGTAGCAGAAGCTGCAGAACAAATTTTGCCATGACACATTTCATGCCAAGATCCTGTGTCAAAATCTTGGACACAGTAGGTTTTGGAATCCCCAGATCAGCTTCTATTTCTCCCATTGTCAGTCGATGATCTCTGTTGATTACAGCCCCTACATGTTCTACATTCTCAGGTGTTCTGCTTGTTGCAGGCCTTCCAGAATGTGGATCACTTTCAACAGATTCTTGACCATCTTTGAAGTATTTGTGCCACACTTTTATTTGCACACTGCATCATTGCTTCGTCCCTGAAAGCCTTCTGAATCATCTGAACAGTTTCCACGGAGGAATGTTCAAGCTTGATGCAAAAAAGGACTCACTCAGTCCTTTTGAATGCAATGGCCACACAGTACACGTGCTCACTCAATAGCTTCTACTGCCCCCACTGACTACTACAGTGAAGTCAGCATAGTTCACACATGCGCATTCCAAGTCCACTCTCCTTGGCTGCCAGGTTACATGGATGTCACACAAACTGTTCTCATTATATTAACAATAGATAAGATTTTTTCTGGACAGACCATGTATATTTCTCCCATAGTTTTTTAATATGTGGTGTCTGAAATATGCATACCTGCATATATTTCTTTTGCCAGGACTTTTTTTCTAACCACATAAAGCTCATACTGTCTGTATTAATCCAAGTTGAAAAAGAAAATGCGAGCCCTTTCCAACTCTACGCACCTTCATCATAACGTCTAAGGTAGTGCCATCACCATGCTTCAAGACCGTCAGATAGACCTACAAGAGAATACAGGAAAAAAGAAAGGGATCTGATTAAATGTATCTTGTTCCAAATATTCTAATGTTAAGAAAAGACAGAAAGCAAGTTAAAAAAAATTGTAAATAGCTACATGTAGATGTTACATACAAATTGTGGCAAGGTGCTAAGAGCCCACATGAACCAGAGAGGTAGATGGCATGTCGTCAGTAAAAGCAGAGCACACCAGCTTCCTATAGGGAATGTGCACTGATAATCACCTTTCAGCACCATAACACGGACTGAGAAACTTTAAACAAGTGAGAAGCTGGCTACAAACTACCTATATGGAATATATTAAAATAAGGTCTAACATGATTTTCAGGTGAGTACTTAGGTCATTTTTAGTTACTATGAAATACATTCCACACTACACAGAATGATGCAATCACCTAAAAGTCAAGGTAATTCATTATGAAAACCTACAGGACTCCTCAGATCGGCAGAGAGAATCTGTTTCCCTTCCACATGGTCCTTAAACCGACGGCGGGCTTCTTCTAATGTTGCCTTATGTCCTGCTTTTCCTAGTTTGCCCAGGACCAAGCCCCTCAGGAGTGCATCTAGATGACCTGATTGAGAAGTAAAAGAGACACAGAACTACTTAAAAAGCCTACTTTTACAAATATGCCACCTAGATATCTTATAATTGTGTTATACCATGTCTAAAATCTTGAATAAACAGAATCAATTATCTTAGTACTTGAAAGAATGCCTGATTTAAATTTATCAAATCATAAGAGTGAAATGAAGTGCTAAACAGACTAAACAAGCAAATAAATTGCTGACTTTGTCTATATTCACAAATGCTAACTATCTGAATTTAAATGTTCATTCCATCTAGGTAATTACACAATTAAGGATTATGTGTGAAAGAACAGGCTTAGATCATGCAATTGTAATGCAAGATACAGAAAGTCCACATACAGAATTAATAAACTATATATAAGAAATTGAAATCTTAGATTGTTAAAATTAAAATTTGATGGATCTTTTACTCCAAAGATATGCAAATTGCCAATAAGCACGTAAAATATGTTCAACAGCACTGGTCAGCAGGGAAATGCAAATCAAAACCACAATGAGGTACCACTTCACACCCAACAGGATGGCTAGTATAAAAAAACAGACAATAACAAGTGTTGACAAGGATGTGGTGAAATTAGAACCCTCATACATTGCTGGTGTGGCCACCGAGAAAACCAATCTGGCAATTCCTAAAAACATTAAACACAGAGTTACTGTAGGACCCAGCAATTCCACTCTTAACTATATACCCAAGAGAAATGAAAGTACATGTCCACACAAAAACGTGTATACAAATGTTCATAGCAACATTCATAATAGTCAAAAAGTGGAAATAATACAAACATCTATCAACTGGTGAACACAGAAACAAAATGTGGCACTATATAGCCATACAATGGAATATTATTTTGCCTATAAAAAAGAATGAAGTGATACATTAAGCATGGATGCACCCTGAAAGCATGCTAAGTGAAAGAAGCCATATACAAAAGGTCACAAAGGGTGTGTTTCCATTTATGTGAAATATCTGGAATAGGCAATTCCATGCAATAGAGCCCTGACTGATGTGGCTCAGTGGGTTGGGTGACGTCCTGCAAAGCGAAAGGTTGTCAATTCGATTCTAGGTCAGGGCACATGCCTGGGCTGTGGGCCTGGTGTGAGAGGCAACCAATCGATGTGTTTCTCTCACACATCGATGTTTCTCTCCCTCTTTTCCTCCCTTCCCTTCTCTCTGAAAATAAATAAATAAAATCTTAAAAAAAAAAAAATCCATGAGCTAGAAAGCACATTAGTGGGTTTCCTGGGACTAGGGTTACCAGAGAATGGGGAGAGACTGCCAATTGGAATAGAGTTTCTTATGAGGGTAAAGAAATTGTTCTGGAATTAGATGGTGGTAAAAGTTGTGCAACCTTGTGAACATACTAAAATACAATGATTGGTATTTTTAAAGGGTGCATTTTATGGTATATTTGTTATATCCCTAAAAAATTACATTAACACACAAATCTGAGGAATTTGCAACAGTACAGTGGCCAAATAAGTTGTGGTATATTTGCGCTTGCTTCAGCAGCACATACACTGGAATTGGAACAGCCCTGGCTGGTGTGGCTCAGTGGATTGAGCACCAGCCGGCAAACCAAAGGGTCACTGGTTCAATTCCCAGTCTAGGGCACATGCCTGGGCTGCAGGCCAGGTCCCAGGTAGGGGGGCTCATGAGAGACAACCATACAGTGATGTTTCTCTCCCTTCCCCTCTCTAAAAATAAATAAATAAAATCTTTAATAAATAAATAAGATTAGAACAATACAGAGAAGATTAGCATGGCCCCTGTGTAAGGATGACATGCAAATTTGTGAAGTGTTCCATTATTTTTGAATGTTCTAAAATGTCAAGGCAGTTGCTTGTGTTTAACTGTGAAAAAATAAAAATTTATCATTTTGCACTAAAAAAAAAAAAAAGGTATATTCATACAATGAAATACCATTCAGCAATAAAAAGGAATAAACCTGGATCAGATGGAATGACAGAAGCCAGATATAAGAACAGAATAAATGTGATTCATTTTATATAAATTTCTGTAAGATAATATTAATCTAGGGTAGAAGAAGTCAGAATAGTGTTTGCCTCCCAGAACAACACTAGTCAGGAGGAAATACCACTTTTAGTTATTAGCAGATTGTAGAAAATAATTACATTTATAGCCCTGAAGTCACCACTCTCAACCTTCTCTCACAGAGGAGAGCACACATGTAGAAGGTCAAATAACTTCCTTAATTCAGAAAACTGACCCATGTGTCTCTTAATACCTTTGCAAGTTGTATATAAACTATTTATGGTCATAATAAAAAAAATAATCTAAAATCCCTATAGCTTTTTTTGACTATAAATGGGCCTTTGGAACTCACAAAAGACTTTTATGTCCACCATTTGTTTATGCACAAATCATATTTGGCGATGTATGCACCTAACATAACCACCACTGTTTTTATGTCAGTGACCCATGTAAATTCATAAGTAGGCGTAAAGACCTAAGTCTTAATTTCTAGCTAGCTGAATATATAGTGACAACTAGCAGATACAAAGATGATGCCGCTGCCATTGTTAACCACAAGTGAGTAAAAAAGAACAAATTTTTGGTCAATTCTTTGCCTATTCAGTATATCCCTTACCTTCTCCAGATTTGGGGTCCCAGCCTAGTCTCTCCCCTATAGGTGAAAAGATATCTTTCACAAACTCCTGGGTTTCCTCATAGAAGTCTGTGTGGGACAAGAGAGTTGAGAGAATCCCCAGGTTACAGCTCAGGTCGCTCCATACAGTATAATTGGGCTCATTCACAAAAGCCTCCATGACTTTTAGAACCTCTACAGTGCTAATGATTCCAGCTCGAGCCTGGGATAGGAAAAAATATAAATTAATCTAGTCTTCAAACAAATACAAAACAAAAAAACACAAGCATGCATTTTTGGCATTATCGACTGGTAGTCATCTCTTTGGTTTATAGGAAATGAGCCTACATAAGCTCAGAATACTAGACTTTTATAGAATAATAATCCTATATGCCAACATTCCTTATTTGCTTTTTCTTTTTGCTCTTTATAAAAGAGCCACTTAAAAATATGCTAAAATTCCACCAATTTGGAAAGAATTAAAGAAAATAATAAAGAAAATAGCTAACTTTCTATTTCTATTCAGTTTCAGGGGCCTTGGGCTTTTTCTTTTGAAAATTTTCATACGTTTAGAAAAGTTAAAATATTTGGGGCTTTGGTTTTTGACAGAGGCTCTTTCAAAACTGGATCTGCAAACTGTGTCAACTTTAGCCTGTCCTTTACTCAAAGAACGCATACTGGAAGGCACTACAAATTCAGAGTCCTTTCAGAATTAGCTAAGAGAGTTAGGAAAAAGAACTTCTGTTACAGCAGCCAACTGCACAAACACACCACTCTCCTGGGACAGGTCTCTTTCAGCAATGAGATCAGCAGATGTGAGGTTTTGTGCATCAATGCTAATCTGTGTTTATACAAAGGAGGAATCCAAAACCAGTCACTGCAGAGGGGAGGGAAAACTTCAAGTCCAATTAAAGGAACACTAGGAGGACTCTAACAATTTTATCACAGTCAAAGACATCTAGAAATTATCTAACCTATGTTGGCGTCATAAAGATAATACTACTAACTGCTGCTTTAAATCTCTTCTGGAACAAAACGAAATATAAATATAATTCTAAAGGTAATGGGTTAGTATACTTGAGTAGTAATGGAATGTTAAAAAATTCTAGACTTTCCCAGCCAAGTACAACCATTATTTTAGATAAATACAAATCACTCTGAATCAATTAAGTTTTTTTAGAAAAATCACTTCAGTAGGGAAGTTTCTTCAAGGTTCATATCTATTTCTATTGAAAAGAATTTCTGTGATACAAAAGATAGTTTAAGCACAGTTGTAAAAAGCTGGCTTAGGAGTAATGAAATGGGATATGTTTCTGGTAAATTATATAGGTTCAATTTTGTCATGTTAATTAATAATTAGTCATTTGCTCTAATCCCAAAGGCATTTAACCTTCAGGAAGAACTACGAGTGTATTCTAATTATGTTTCACTTAGACACACTCCAAATAAAAACAAAATCCTTTAATCGACAAAATCCATCATACTACTTGAGAGAGGCTCACCAAGGAGAAGAGGTCATTCTGTAATCCAAGTCGATCCACAGGGGGCAGAGAAAGGTCACGAATGCCTGGTAATAAACTTTCCAGCATGGCTGAGCTATACTGGGTCCGATAAAACCCAACTGTTCCCAGGTTTAACTGAAAAGATATCCAGTAGACATTATTAAAACAGTTGCATTTATTTTTTTTAAGCCAATCTTTTGTAGGTGTGAAAGGAGCTCTGGCTTCTGTGTATCTGGATGAAAAACAGCAAAGGTCACATATGCCAACAGACAGGGATTAAAATGAAACAACACATAAAGATAGAAATCAGTTATCAAAAATGAATACAGAGGCAAAAGGAAACAGAAATTTGATGTGGTAGGGGCCCAAGTAAGGGACAGCAGGAAGAACATGACAGGGAGAGAAGAAATAATATGGATAAGTGTCTATTTCTAACTTCACTATATAGTTTTACAGAAAGTATTTACTATACATAAAAACACTTGGACAATGGAATCCCTGAGGAAGGCTAACCCTTTACAAAATTGATTTATTGAGCCCAGAGCCTCAAAAGAGTAATAATTGTCAGGTCCTAAATTTTAAAGAATTACATGGACTTAAAAAGCAGTTCATATGATTTTTTAAGTGTGGTTATCACTGACTGTCATAATCTTTGATTGCCAACAATCAAAAATATTTGTGATAGCATTTACATGCAAAATATTTTAAAGGTAAAGTAATAGTATAAGATATAAATATTTTACTATTTATATATAAATAGTAAAAAATTACCTCACAGATCTAATTTAACTATTATTTTATTGATTACTTTTATCTTTTATGGTAGGAATAACACCTTTATTTACTTAAATACAATCATAGTATACATTACTGTATTCTCTTATAAGATAATGTTCATATTGCTATTTAATCTTTCAGGTTATAGAAAGATTGTCCTGGCTGGTGGGGCTCAGTGAATTGAGCGCTGGCCTGTGAACCAAAGGGTCATGGGTTTGATTCCCAGTCAGGGCACATGCCTGGGTCTCTCCCTCTCTTTCTCCCTCCCTTCCCCCGTCTCTGAAAATAAATAAATAAAATCTTAAAAAAAAAATTAAAACAGAAGGAGAAATGGCTCCTTTCAGAAAAGTGCAAAAGTTCAGCCAATGTGTAATTCCTATTAGGAAGGTATAATAGGGAGAAAGGTTTGTAGTAGATACTTTCACTATGAAAAGTACAGAATATAGGATAATGAAAAATAATATTTACCAACTATTATTTTTATAAAATGGTTTTAAAACATCAGCTAAAGGAATTTCACACTTCTGTGTGACACAGAACTGATTATTATATATCTGCTCTCACTTGATTACAGTTGTAAACATATGATGACAACGTATCATTTGAAGTTAACATGCCATTACAATGACAGGACAGTTTGAGATTGCAAGACTACGCATGTTATGGTTAATGTGACTTTACACATAGTCTACTATTTTTTTTCTCTTTAATCCTATCCCTCTGTAACTGCTTATCTACCACTCTCTTACCTGACATTAAGGCAAATATCTACACAATACTATTTGAAAACTGGCCCAAAATTTCACACAAGAAAGTTTGGAAATGTTTTTTTCTTTGCCAAGTCCTAGTATAAACTGAAGCAGATTTCAGAACCAGCCATAAAATGCATAACAGAAGTGAGAGAAATAAATCAATTTAGATAAGATAAAAATGGCCATGCTATTTCTGGACTCACCTTTACCCATTGGTCTGGTTTGACATTCTTCAAAACCACATTCATCTCTGGCTTGTCCATTAGAATTTTCAGTTTGGCATGGCTGGGATCTTCACTAGTAGAGATTGTGATAGGGACCATCCACTGGGGACAATCTTCTCCTTAAACAAGAGAAGAACAAATAGAAAACTTTAAAAATAATTTGTCACTGTAAAAATTATAAGGGAAGGCTCAGAGACAGAAGTGGTATTCCATGCATGGGCTTGAGTCTAACTATTAAGCCAATAGCTCATTTTGTTAAAAAAAAATTTTTATTTTACCCTCACCTAAGGGGGCATGCTGAGAGAGGGAGGGAGGGAGGGAGAGAAGAGGAGAGGAAGAGGGAGAAAGGCAGGGAGAAGGAGTCGGGGGGGTGAGTGGGGGGGGGGAGAGAGAGAGTGATAGAAACATCAATGTGAGAGAAACATCAATTGGTTGCCTCTTGTATGTGCCCTGGCCTGGGATGGAACCCAAAACCTAGGCATGTGCTCTGATGGGAATCGAACCCACAACCCTTCAGTTTATGGGACAGTGCTCTAACCAACTGAGCTACCCTGGCCAGGGCAATAGCTCATTTTTAATGGTACAACAACTCTTTTAGGTGACCTGAATGATACTGGTGCAAAGGAAGAGAGATTAACAAAATCACAATAGTCTAATTAAAAAAAAAAAAAAAATCACTTACTTGTAGGATAACAAATACAGTGATTTTAATTTAATTGTTGTTTTCCCTTTACAGAGCAATAAAAGACAACAATGACTTTACTGTTTTAAAGAAATTTTGAGTGGGTGAAAGCCCTCACATAGCATTTAAAAACAGATACTCAGGTGCAGTCTTTAACAGGTATATACACTACTGAAAACACTAGAGGGTTGGTTTTTATTTTTCTGATAAACAGGATATACCCTGGGAACCACTGGATCCCATCATGAACAAGTCATATCTAAAAGGCAAAGCTTTTGTAAAGTAGATACATACTCCTCTTTGGTATCAGACAACAAAACTGACTTTGTATTAAGATGACAAACAAAAGAGAGTCACTGCCCAGTAGTACATTAAAGGAAATATTTTAATAAGCTGTTTAGCTTTATGCTATCACGTTAAGCCACAAATTAAAATTTCCTCTTGACACTGGGATATTTCAGGTTTTAACACTGCCTATATTGGTCACAGAGTATTAGAAAAACCTGCAAAACCTATCAGTCCTACAATGCAGATTACAGGTACAAGGCAGAAAATGGCAAATGTGACACTTAGGGATTTATTTGGATAATACACCTGTCACCTAACTTATCAGGCATATTTATTAAAAGAGTAATTCTAAATGCTAGGGAAGGTTTTAGGGTGGAAGGCTGTACCTCTTAACATTAGTAGGGTGAATCCTATTTTGGTGGGTGAAACATGAAAAGTCATTGGTGATCCTGATATACACCTACCCCTGTTGCGACCTGCTATTTATTTATTTATTTATTTATTTATTTATTTTAAAGATTTTTATTTATTTATTTTTAGAGAGAGGAGAAGGGATGGAGAAGAGAGCGGGAGAAACACCAATTGGTTGCCTCTTGCATGCCCCCGACTGGAGACCTGGACAGCAACCCATGCCTGTGCCCTGACTGGGAATCAAACCAGTGACCTTTTGGTTTGCAGGCCCGCGCTCAATCCACAGAGCCACACCCCCAAGGGTGAGACCTGGTATTTTAAACTAAGACAAAAAGGTGTAGAAAAACAATTTATTTTTTTGATTTTTCAATTAATCTTTCATTTTCTGGGTAAAAGAGTCTAATGACATGAAGAAATACTGAAAAAAAGCAGAGGTAAGTGGTATAATCTCATGCAACCCAACTATTTTGTTAGAATACTTATACTTTAGCTCATTAGAGAATTAATTCAAGGTGACTTTGAGCAATTTAACTAACCTACATATGCCTCAGCTCTCTCATTTGTAAAATGGAAATAATTTTACCTACCTAATAGGGTTGCTGAAAGTACAAAATAAGGATCAGTTATACTGTTTAGCACTACAATACATCTAAATAATCATTGGGCTTTATTTATTTACTTATTATGCCTAAGGATTTTTAAAAAATATTAGCCACCCACACAAATATGTATCAAGTCTGCGTTTAGGGATTAAGGCTAGAGCAACATCACTTCTTGGGTGTTCCTATCCTTTTTTATACACAGACACAGGGAATTTCAAAAATCTAAGAAGATGACAACACTACAAATACTTCATGAATCTCCTTTCTTGATTTTCTGGATTTCATTTGTATTCTATTACCACTTCCTTGTTTTTATTTAATTGTATCAAAAATATTTAAAAATGGCCCTGGCCGGTGTAGCTCAGTGGATTGAGTGCCAGCCTAAGAACCTGGGGGTCACTGGTTCAATTCCCAGTCCGGGCGCATGCCTGGGTTGTGCGCTGGGTCCCCAGTGGGGGGGGTGTGTGAGAAGCAACCACACACTGATGTTTCTCTCCCTCTCTTTCTCCCTCCCTTCCCCTCTGTCTAAAAATAAATTTTAAAAAATCTTTGAAAAAAATTTTAAAATGGATTATTATTTCCTATTAGTTGGAACACTATTGGTATGGTATCCAAATGCATTGATTGGCTGCCACTTATAGCCATTTGCTTACCAGCATATGGTCCACTGGCACAGAACTTCCTTTGGGACAACTTCAGTAATCTGTCATCTTCTACCTAGAGAAGCAAAACAAAGGATATTATAGTATAATTTTTTTTTTCTTTTTTGGAGGGAGCAACTTTTCTGTGACAAAGGAGAAGGTAAAACCAGTGTAATCAATGTCGCATGAGTACATGAATGGAATGGTGATGAAGATGATGATGCTATAGAATAGTGAAAATTCACTATTTCTTATTTTGGCTTCAAAATAACAGTAGTCTAAATAAAAGAACAAGTTCTATGTAATATAAGCCCTAGGAAAAGATATGCAGCCAGATAGGAACTTAAAAGCATTAAAGTTTTTCAAAGGGATACATAACAAAATAATACTATAGCAAGTTATTTTAGATTAGCATGTGGACTCAATATTCAGAATTCAAATTATCAGATGACTGAGAAACATGAAAGCACACCCCTTGCTTTTAAAGGGTGAGTTTTGCAATAAAACAAGTGGGGGGAAAAACTAAAAAGAAGCAACAAAGTACATATTTTTAAAAATACTTCAACAAAAATGCAGTCATTTGTTTCATTTATTATGAGTTACTACACCCCAGAACATTTTAAAATAACAAAAGATATAAAAAAATTTAAGACCACCTAAATCAAAATTAAAATTGGGCCAATGACTTTATGGATAAACTGACTACTAAAGATAGAATTGAAAAACTAAAAAATTTGAACGAGAAAGCAATGGCCACTTGGATGACAGAGGGAAACAACTAATGAAATTAAATAATACATTATTGATTAGTTACATAACATCAATTTCCCTGAAAAAGTTCAAAGGTGATATTTAAATTCAGAAGTAGCTCTGGCTGGTGTGGCTCACTGGATAGAATGCCAGCCTGAGAAGCAAAGGGTCGCTGGTCCCTGATTCCCAGTCAGGGCACATGCCTGGATTGCAGGCCAGGTCCCCAGTTAAGGGGTGTGCATGAGGCAATCACACATTGATGTTTCTCTCCCTCTCATTTTCCCTCCCTTCCCCTCTCTAAAAAATAAATAAATTCAGAAATAAAGCAAAAATAATTAAATTTAGGAACTATAAAATGGGAAATTGATCATGATCAAAATATTTTGTTACAGATCTCTATTTTTAAAAGAATTAGGAGCCACAAATAGAGTTTTTATTGTAATGAAAAAGAATGAGTTTGGCTATGCTTAAAAAAAAAAAGTAAATCTGTGAAAGTAGTTTGAGGTACAGTTAATTGAATCTCAATAATATTGGGGGGAAGTGAGATACTAGTATCCTCTGTATTCTGCTTGAAGATAAAATTACGGCCTAATAAGCTTTTTGTGTAATTATTAAATAGTTTAATAGTTTTGAGGTGTTGATAGTTTTTGAGGGAATAAAATTCCCAGAGGTGAAAGGAACAATCATCTTTGTATGTTATTAATTCTTAAAACAAATAAAATGAAAAACTACTTGTCTATATAGAGTGTCAATGTGAAGGTTGATCAGATATCTCTTATGAAAGTCTAGTCCAAAATGGAGAGAGAGGACTGGAAAGAAACAGACGTAAGTCACTAAACTTACTGATATTCTTTTCAACCAAATATGACTGATTACATTCCCTAAATTGACTTTTCAAATGCTTGCAGCAAGTCTAACACACAAGGTCCTCCAATATGTGCACTTTATTATAAAATACAATTGTGCTTAAAGTTGAGATGTGGCTTCACACGGTTAACTTACACTGTAATGTACCATGTAAATTTGGGTGTATTTTGAGAATACAAGGGCTGATTTAAATGTCACCCAGAATTCTTGAAGTACAGAAAAGCAAAATTTGATACCATTGACTGAATTTTACTTAATACAATATCAGACAAATTGAGGGACTTTTTATAAGTTTACCTGTTCTGCCTCCACATAAATGAGGGGGAATCCCATTTGTTTGGTCCAGGTGTTCATCACCGCTGCTATAGGTTTACCACTAGCACTTTCTAAACTTTCCCAGAGATCCTCTAGGAGATAAACACAAACATCAAAAATGTAAATGTTTACATTTTTATTTTCCTAAAAAAACCCACAAATTTTATGACTCTTGACATTGCAGACCAACTCTGGTTCTTTCACGTTCAGGAAATAAACACTGAGCCAAATTAATGTCCTCCTTGCCCTCCCTGTTACGCAAAAACTGGTCTTATACTCTAAGATGTTCTTAATTGTTCCAATTTATTAAAAATTACAAATTACAATAAACAAAAGACAAACAGGTGAGTTTGAACAAGAATAAATAGAAACAAATAGAAATATATTCAAGATCACTACTAAACAATCATTCACAAACATAAAATTGTTATACCCATTCAATTAACAGAGTTAAAAAAAGCTGAAGATAGAGGACACATGTGTGGGACCAATGGGCAATGAGGCTATAAAAGAAGGCAGAGCCAAACTGCTGAAGACTCTGTATGGCTTTCAAAGTACTGACTTTATCATGAAGGAAATGTAGCATCCCAAGTATTTTTAATCAGTAAGGTGATGCAATCAGAAATTCACTTAAGAAAGACAACCCTAGCTAGCCTAAGAATGAGAGAGGAAATTGAAGAGTCAGGGAGGCAAGTAGTGAGCTAACAGACAACTGCAGAATTCAGTGAAGAGATCACAAAGGCATGAATTAAGGTAAATGCAGTGAGATTAGAAAGAGGGCATTGTATGAAAACAATGGGTGAAAACTCAAGTGTATTTGAACTGCCAATTGTCATCCATAAACCAGAAAACAAACCAAAAAAAGGTACATGGTAGGCCTTGTTATTCAAATGTGGCCTATGAACTAGTAGCACTGGCTTTACCTGGGGGCTTCAGGCCTCACCCTAGACCTACTGAATTAGAAACATTTTAATAGACCCCACATGATTGTATGTCCACTGCAGTTTAAGAAGTACGAGGGCATAATCAATAAAATATAATTTTAAAAAAAAGCACAAGGTTCTTTCCTCACATATTATATACACGCATACCTTGGAGATATTGCAGGTTCTGTTCCAGACCACCACAATAAAGCAAGTATCTCAATAAAATAAGAGACACAAATTTTTTGATTTCCCAGTGCATGTGAATGTTATGTTTAATATATTCTATTATCTATTAAATGTGAAATATCAGTATGTCTAAAAATATACATACCTTAGTTAAAAAATACTTTATTGCTAAAAAAAATACTACCCATCATCTGAGCCTATCTGAAAAATGGCACCGACAGACTTGCTCAATGCAGCGTTACCATAAACCTTCCATTTGTAAGACACAATTATCTGCGAAGTGCAATAAAACAAAGTATGCCTGTATATGAATGCCAAAGACTCATAAAACTTGGAAGAGCATATTTTTCTGTAGTGCTTCTTTGAGGAACAGAAGGCCTATTTTATAGACTAAAATGGAAGTTTAGGAGGAAAGGGGATATCAAGATTATATCATGTCCTTAACAGAAGAGATACTATATTATTAAATCCCAGGTCACAAACAGGAACAGCTTATGGCCAGGACTCTGAACTTTTGTCATTCTATTAGACACTAATGACATTACATAAATCTTTTTTCTAAAAACTATTTCTGTTCACTAAAGAACTCAAAACTATGCATCTGGCTCTTCTTCATATCCAATCAACGCTTAAGCCTTTATTCATCCTTTTGAGGATGATAACGAATATACTGTAGCCCATCATGTGCTAAAAACTTTAAGACTTTATTGAAACTGCAGTTTCACAGTTCATTTCTAAAATTAGTTAATTTGAAGCTATTTTAATGGCCAATGATTAATTTGGGGCCATGAAGCCAACAAATCACCAAAAAGAGTAAGTTCTGGTAGGTAAACAGGAACTGTCAGACTCCTTTAAGTGGCGAAACAATGAGCTATGGAAAGCTGATTACTGAAAGATGACCAAAAGAGTAATGGGCCCTGATTTAACAAATGGCATCAAGTAAGTCAACTTTATTTCCTGTCCATCACAAAGAAAGTTAAGCAGTTAGAAAAAAATTAAATGTCCCCCTCTCAACAGAGTGCCAACACCTTCCATTTCTATCTCAAGCTACTAAAGATTACCTGTGGCAGCATTCTTTTGCTGGAACTTGGTTAAATACATGTTCATTCCTTTCTTAAAGTCCTGAGAAAACACAATTTTTAAAATCCAGGAGAGTCAGATCTCAGAATTTACTGTATATTTATATATTAATACTCAAAAGCAACTTTACCCAAATTCTTGAGTACGAGAGTTATTGAAATACAAATGTCTACTTCCTTTGAGAATGCATACTCTGCCTTCTATTTAAGTTTTATACCAGCCTCCCACCCACTCCCAAAAATATTTGTACATCATTCATCTAAGATATCACATGAGTCAATATTAAAAAAATAATAAAGCTAAGTCAGAAAAAAATTATTTAGGAACTTCATCTAAATAAAATCTGATAATTTTCCATGCAAAATTCTATGATTTTACCATAAAAGAACGGAAGACTTTTAAAATTGCTTTTTTTACCTTATCCCCAATGTAGTCATGTAGCATTCGAATGACAGATGCACCTTTGCTATACGATATAGCATCAAATATCTCATCAACCTCAGACGGATGGCCCACGCTGACCTGGAAGACAGTACGATAAAGGTTATGACAGGGAGCAGACATTCTGTAATACTGAGTTACATAAAAAGCTTTCTATCCTGACTGCTGTGGCACAGTGGTTTGGGCGGCATCCCACAAACCTAAAGGTCACTGGTTCGATCATGCCTGGGTTTCGGGCCAGGGTCCTGTTTGGGGGCGAGCAAGGGGCACCTGACCACTGTTTCTCTCTCATTAATGTTTTCTCTCCCTTTCTCCCTCTCTTTCCTCTTTCTAAAATTAAATAAATAAATAAGCCCAGGCTGGTGTGGCTGGTGTAGATTGAGTGCCTGGCCTCTAAAACAAAAGGTTGCTGGTTCAATTCCCATTCAGGGCATGTGCCTGGGTTGCAGACCAGGCCCCCAGTTGGGGATTGTACAAGAGGCAACTGATTGATGTGTTTCTCGCATGTTGATGTTTCTCTTTTTCTCTCCCTTCCCCTCTCTCTAAAAAGTGAACTGCCCTGAAAAAATAAATACATAAAATTTTTAAAAACAAATAAAATCTTTAAAAAAAAAACAGCTTTGTAGGAAAACCCTTCTAACTAGTAAGGTTCCCTTCTGCCTTCAGCTCTCTCAAAATGTGTAACGATGATCCTTAAAAAGTTATAGTAACATTAATAAAGTGGAATATGGTAATCTTAGGGTCCAGCCTTGGCTCTGCTTTTGCAGGGAGGCAAGTTACTACAGATCTGTTTATTGGCGGTGGTGGTGAGTGGGGGTGAGGAAGGGAGAGATGAAAAACATGTGCTTTCTTGCACTAGTTGTAATGGCTTACAATTATATAGGATCTTGGTTAAATATGTCAAGGTAGACTGTAAGTCTAGTTCTTTGGAGGCAAAATTTATACATATAAACTAACTGAATTATCAATCAGCTAAGTAAAGAGAATCAAAGTATATATAAAAACAGATAATGACAATAAGAAAAGAATATGTTCAGAATTTTCTTTGAAACAAACAATGGAATGATAATATTCCCCTATGCATGTTACCCAACAGGTGTGGTTCTCCCATACTATTCAATAAAAATGCACTTAGTGAATGCTATGGGTATACAGTACTTGCCTCTACAAAGATCGATTTTTTATACTGCCTAAGAAAAAAACATAATTAGACCAGTTTTGCTACATTTTCAAGACTGGAAATATAAACCATAAAAACAAGTGAAAACACCCATGCAATTTTCAGAGTCCTAAGTTCAATTATCTCTATAACAAATTATTTCATTAAAAATGAGAACAAACGGTTGATATTATTGCTCACTTCAATAGGATGGCTGTTATCTAAGGCATCAAGCTCCTGGGCGCGGGTATAATCAGCAGAAACAAACTGAGTCCAGATATCATACTCTGGGAAGCAGTGATCTACACACAGATATTCAATCCAGGATGCAAAACCTTCGTTTAACCAAAGATGTGTCCACCATTCCTAAAAACAAGAAAAAAAATAGGTAAAGAAAAAAAATGCTTGTCATTCCGCTAATTTGAAAAACTCACATATCCCTTTCATTATACTCTGAAACTTAACAACCTAATGAGCTAAAATTTAATTCAAAACAATTAATAAATAATTCACATCTCTGAACAAAAGAGATACCTAAAAGAGGTTCCAAGGAAGGCGAGTGATATTAAAATTATGCCCCAGGGACATTTCAAAACATTAATAAGTAATATTTTATTGCCAAAGGTAGAAAAGGAGGAAGGAGGGGAGAGGGGAAGGGAAGCCCTTATATGGAAAAGGGGAAGAAAGCGGGTAAATGTAGGCTTTTTTCCTATATTATTTCCTATATGGTCATATAAAATTTAGTTTAATAAAGATTTCTCTTACAAACAAACACAGAAAGCTACAAAGGTAGCAGGACCAAGCAAGGAAAACTGGGAACTATTTCCATAACGTCAGAGATAAATCATAGATACATAGAAAAGCAGTACTGTTAATATAAGGATTTGGTGAAATTAACAGAAGTGCCATGGCTGTAAGTAGTTCAGTAATGAATGGTATTTAAGAATTAATAGTGGAGTGGGGAAAAAATAGAATGGGCCATACATAACAACAACTTAAAAAAAAAACGCAACTTTTTATAGATTTCAATCTAATTTTCATTAAGGCTGATTAAATCTCTTATAAAAAGAAAGCAAAATATGAATCCCAACATAAATGCTAAAGGACTAATGCAATGGTAAAAAAAAACAAAAAGGCATTTTAAAATTCTGAAAAGATAAAAAATTTCCAATATTAAGTGATAAATGGCTATTTGTCCAAGTGCTTTGTGTACTTATTTAACTAGTAACCTCCATTAAGATAGCTGGTTCAAAGCTATTTATTCTCCAACCTATCCCTAAGCCCTTGAATTTCAGTTAATAAATAATTGGTATCTACTAACTAAAAAGTTGTTTAAAAGCAATATAATAAATGCATACATTTCCCCTACTAAAAGTTATTACTGGTAGTTTCAAAATAAAATCATAAAAAAATAAAGTCCACTGAAAGCTGAGCAAAAAAAAAAAAATTGTTTAGTTGCAACAAACTTACTGCATTAAGTAGAAAAGAACGTTTCTGTACATATTTGAATACAGGTACTAGCATACTTAATTCCACATAAAATTATATTTAAAAAAACCCAAAAAACCTTTTTCACCCCTAAGTAAAACTTTAAACATCCGAAGCAAAAGGGAAGTTTTTGCTTTCAAGGGCTGCCTCCCTTTAGAAATGCTCTCAAACATGCCATTGTTGCCACATGTCTTGTTTTCTTGCTTATTTCTGTGACGTATGGTCTCAACTACATCCAACCAACCGAGCCACACTGGTCAGGGCTTAAACAAGGATTTCAATGGGACAATAGATAGTTTAATAAACTTTAAAGCACTTCTACAGTCTCTTTGCTTTCATTTCTATCAAATTTCAACATAACATTTTAGACAATGAAAAAAACTGACCCCTAAAAACATTTCAACCTAATCGAATATCAGTATTATTTAGCAGGTTACTTTTCAACTAGGGAACTACATATCAAACATGACTCAGGAAACTACAGTTGACCTAGAATCTCATTGCATGGAATCTCTCCACCTAAGATGAATCTCTTTCTCTCACCCAAATTAGTCATGACTTCCCCCATTAGCAGGCCAATTTAGAACAGCTGAGGAAGTATTTTCTGTTGAAAAAAGAAGTTGTCCACATGCTCTTGATCAACAGAGATTATGATAAACATTTTTCAATGTGGACCTTTTGAAATAAAGTTTTTCTATCATTCAATTTTTTTCAGCACAATGTTCCAGGCAACCCTGAAAAACTATGTAGCCAAAATAATGGGCAGCAGGATGAAGATAAATATATTTGAGCACTTAAAAATATTAAATACCATAGTAACAAGATTTCCAAACCATTGATGGGCGAGCTCATGTCCCACAACCAGAGCAACCCACTGGCGTGATGAAGAACAGGAATTTTTTGGATCAATAAGCAATGCAGTCTCCCTGTGTTAAAAAAAAAAAAGAAAGAAATTATACAATAAAAGTATTGCAATAAAAGCATGTACAAGTCGGGGAGGGAGATTCAAACAGTAAATAAGATGGTCAAGTTAGGCTTTAGAGATGTTATTTCCTTAGAGTATACAGGATTGAAAAAGTTCCAGAAGTTTGAGACTATGTCAGGAGAATTCATACGACAGAAGGTAAAGTTGTGACACAAGTTTAATTATCAGTTTGTTGATAGGACAGCTGCCTGAAATTTTAGAAAAACTCTGTCTAAAGGACTTAGGGATTATTGTGCTAGATAGAGAAGACAGTTCTGCCATTAAAAGAACATGCATGCCAAGTGGGCAGAAGATGCATTCCACAGTCCCAAAAAGAACACTGAGCAGGTTGTCTAAAACTCAGCTCATTGAAGAAGGCAACTGAAAGTAGAAGGGAAAACTTGTTTACAGACCCTGCTTCAAAAATTATACAACCCACAGGTTTATATTGTGGTGACAGACATATAAACATTTGGCTATAAATATTAAATCAGGGAAGGTTCTTCACACTGGATAAATAACTATGTAACTACTGGGAGGAAGAGAAGGCACCAAAATGAGAAACTGAGCCAAAAATATACCTAAAAATGTTACTAATGCCAGATGCTCACTTTAAAATCTTACACTCTCAGAGAGTAGCACCAGAGGGTGTTCATCTGCATTCTTGAAATATGCACAGAAGTGAGGGGAAGTAGGAAAATTTATGGTAGGTCATAAAGCAGAAGATACTCAACTGTGATTAGAAGTGAAGCTCTTATGAAATCAGTGATTGAAAAGATAAGGCAGGGTAACGCATCATTAACATACCTATAAGTAACAAGGCCCCAGTTCTCCATGGCACCTTCATAAAATAAATATAAACATTTATTGATATATATACACACTTCTTCCTCAAAAATCACAAAATTCAAAAAAAGTTATTACAATTCAGCAATAAAATGAAATTTACTTTACCAGCTGCAAAGTCTGCAATAGCAATGAGATCAATTTTAGGTAGAGGATAAGGAACATTGAAGTAGTCCTTATAAAAAGGCAGGGTTTTAGCAGCAACCTATAAAAGTATAAAAAAGAACCATCTGATAAATATTTTACTGTAATTCATATAGAAGTCCACAAAGGAATCCTGTTGCAAGCCCAAATATCTCAAGTTACTAGAAACCAATCCCGGGGAGCCCTACCCCAAAGACTGCCTTAGCCCCAAACTTTGTACATGTTGGCCAAACTTTAATCTAGTTATAGCTTGGTATGAAAAAATACAATTACGTATTTTCCCACTCACTCCCTCAATAAATAAATTCCACTCTAATATTTTTTTAACCATTATCTCATAAAATGTTAGCGCAACACCAAGGCTGGTGGTTCCAAAATTCTATCACAAATAAAACCAAAGTAGCACAACAAATTTCAGATTAAATTATAAGTAATTGTACTAATAATTGATCAGAAATGTAAATTCCCCAACCTGGAGTTATGGACTGTTGGAACAATCCTCTTCAAGTACATTTACCTCTAACGCAAACTTTCCTTGCTCTGCTTTGCCAACAGGGGTATAAACACGGACACACACACCATCTTTTGACCTTGTTTCTACAAAGTCATATTCACCCACAACAAAAGCCACCAGATACGTAGACATGACAGGTGTGCGGGCAAACTTCACTTCCACAACATTTTCATCATCAGGGTATGGTTTCCGATCAATTACATTCTTTAAAAAAAAAAAAAAAAAAGGAAAAATTTAAACAGATTTACAATAAATAGAAAGCAAACACTAGCTCAAAACTGTAGGCTTTGTTGCCTCTCCTTCCCCTTTTCCAGAGCTTGCCTATTCCAATTCCTTCAGGGCTTTTATGTTGTCAAGATCTTTCCTATTAAGGAGGAGAGTGATTTGATCATGCGTTCAACACACTAAGTTCAGGACTAAGGTGTTAAAACTACCAAAAATTTGTGAGTAAAAAGAAATAACTTTTCTGGAATACCTATTATATGCCAGGCACTGGGATGCTTTAAGACAGACCTCAACGCTTTTTAAGTGAAATAAGGATAGGAGACAATAATTACTAATAAAAAAATGCAATTGCAGAATCTACATTTTAAAGACTACAAATTTCTCAATTGAGAGCATTCTCTGTACCAAATTGGCTCTAAGAAAATTTGTGACGAAGTCTCCACTTCACCTTTGGCATCCCTAATTTCCCTTTGGTGTTCTCCCTCTTTTTCCTATTCAGGTTTGTAGTTTCCTCAAGCTCGCTCTCTTCTTTCTTCCAAGAAGACTTATTCAAGAACAGACTTTGATAAGTTCATACTAAATTGTAAATGAGTATTTTAGTTATATGTATTAGCTTCTTCTCTAAGAATATTTGCAAAGAGAATAACATTCTATCTACAGAATTCTTTCTCCCAATAGAGGCAAAAGCCAGTCACTTTCAGGTGCAGTAGGGTTTTCCAGGTTCCCCAGGTTCATATTATAAGCTACAGGCTACTCTAGGTCATAAAGCAGTCCTAGTCAATACACTTCAAGTGGTGAATGCTTACACTATTTATGAATGAGATAATGACGTCAGTGAAGGGAGCACACTTCAAAAATGCGATCAGCCAAAAACCTAAATGCACTTCATTATGTGGTTATATCTTTTAGTATTTAATAAGAAAATCAGATTTTTCTGGAGGGTGGTGAACACAATGCAATATACAGATGATGTATTATAGAACTCTACACCTGAAACGAATATAAATTTTATTAACCAATGTTATCCCAATAAATTCAATTCAAAAAAAAGGAAGTCAGATTTTTTTCCTTTCAGGTAATATTTATTAAACTCAATACTTATTTTGGCTTCTAAATTAAAAGAAGTAGATAATCTTGTTGATATAGTTTACAAGGAATTTCTCCCATGAGGTGGGAAACTCTCCAAATAAGGCAATTAAGAAAAAGAAGGCTTACTAGAAATAAAGAAAACTAAGATTTGTGTTCCTACTATGTATCAAGCACTGTTAGGAGGTTTCATGCTATCCCATCTAATCGTAAACTAAATATGCTAAAAGCTTATTAAAAATTTCAACATACTTACAAATGCATACATACCATGTTTGATAAAGCTACTCTGTCTTTAGGAACAACCAATGAGATATCAAAAGTTGCTTTGATGGCAGGCTCATCCCAGCAAGGAAAAGCCCTCCGAGCATCAGTAGCCTCAATAAAAAAATAAATAAGTAAATAAATCAATCACTGATTTAACAGACTAATTCACAAAGTAACTGTCATCTGTTTCTGAAGTAAATCATTCATTTACTTGTTTAAATATTTACTTTAAAAATATATTTTATTTATTTCTAGAGAGGGGAAAGGAGGGAGAAAGAGAGGTAGAGAAACATCAATGCGTGGTTGCCTCTCGTGTGCCCCCAACTGGTGTCCCCAACCAGCCACGGCTCAAATATTTACTTTCTACTCAGGGCCAGGCAACAAGCTAGGCACTGTGTACAAAGAAACACAAGGTTTACTATCATTGCCATATAGTAAGGAACTAGTCTGCTATAGATTTACAATTTATATGTAAATTCAATGCTTTTGAACTGGTGTGCCACAAGAATTTTTAAAACATGCCAATAAGCCCTTGGCTGGTGTGGCTCAGTGGACTGAGCATCTGTTTGCAAACTGAAAGGTTGCCAGTTTGATTCCCAGTCAGGGCACGTGGCTGGGTTGTAGGCCAGGTCCCCAGTCAATGTTTTTAATCATACATCGATGTTTCTCTCCCTCTCTTTCTCCCTCTCTTCCCCTCTCTCTAAAAAATACATAAATAAAATCTTAAAAATAAAAATGCAATACCTGACTATTTGGTCAGGGTCACTGACTTCCCTTACATTGTTAAATAAAAAAATGACAACAGTCAACACAACAACAGCTGTCCGGTGTGAATGAATCAAAATCAGATCAGCAAAAAATATAACATTTTTTGGTGTGCCACAGAATTTTAGTAATTAGTTTATGTGTGCCATGAGATGAGAAAGGTTGAAAATCCCTGATTTATAGTATTATAATATTTATAATTATATTTTTAATAAAACATTTAAAAATTTAATGCAAATGGCTTCATTAATAATGTTAACAACACAGAGCATAGGAAGGTCAATGGTAAATTGTAAGAATTCAGAACTGGGAAAATATGACAGGTTGCTTCTCTGGCTTTTATTTCAAAAATAAAAACATTTTCAGAATCTTTGATATATTTTGTCCTTTATCTGGAATGGTAGCAACAGGAATAAAGACCAATGCTCTATCAATTCTAAGCAGGTCATTTGTTTAATGGTATTTCTACACATAAAACTGTCACCACTTGACCTACTTAAAGAGACCTCATTCTTTCTTTAAAAATAAAAAACAGAGCTCACTTGTTAAAGCAAAATAAAATTCAGTGGTTCAGTTACAAAAGGAAGAAATTAAATAAAAGAGAACAAAATAGAAAAAATAGAATGACAATATTCTGTCTCATGAAAAGAAGAAACAAAATATATAGAGGTAGAGGAAATACATACTTCTGAAAAAAGGGTTTCTTAGAGGAAAAATGTTAGATGGCTTATTGCACTCTCAAAAAAAATAAATTATAAATTCTATCAAAGAATAAATAAGACATTTGAAAAGTAAGTAGAGTGTGAGAAAAGAACTTAGGAACAGAAGTAGTACAGAAACGAATTTATACTGGAGGAGATGAATGATACGAGTAACAAGACTGAAAGGTTTCTAAAATATTCAAAGTACAAAGTGATAAAAGCAATCAAAGGCACATTTGAGGGACACACACTAGAGCCACATCTATTGTGAAGTGTTCCTGGAGATTAGCTCTGAATACATACACACACACAGGTAACACATTTGCAATACCTGAATTGCTTTTATACTATATAGTGTTCTTAATTAAAATTATCCTCTTAGTATTTGACACCTGTGGCTTTTCTTACTAAATTAGTAGTAATGCTATTATATATATACATATAAAATCATTCCCTAACCCACACTCCTAACTCCCTCCTACCCATAATGAAGATCACTGGCTAAATATAAAATAAAAATCTAAAATCATGAATATAATTATGGCCAAATAGTCATATAAATAATAGCATAGACACTTGTCAGAATATCTAATTTAAGATCGTAATACTTCAGGAAAAAATACCATACCTCAAACTGTGTGACAGCAGCATAGCGTACCTCTCCAGAAGGGGTAGTATATTTACTTCTATAGAAACCTTTCATTTTGTCATTCAGCTCTCCAACAAAATCTATCTTTAAGGTTCCTGTACCTGTGATTGAAGATAAATAAAAACCACTTTTAGGGAAATGTTAAGTACAAGTTATCAAAAGTATGTCCTTAAGACACTAATTTGGCTAGTATTTACAATGTTTAAATCAATCCTCTCTCAAATACTCCTCTTGGCAATGGAGAGAATACAGTATTTATTACAGTACATGTCAGACTAATCCTAAAGTAAATCCTAAAGTCATGTTCAGGGCAGGAAACTGTTTAGAGAGTTCTTTAACTTTATTAACTTAGTCTCAAATTACTAATACATGAAAATAAAGACAGGAATGAGCATTTATTATTAAATGTATAACATGCTACTGTGCTTTAAAAGTATTTATAAACTTGGAATTAGGTACTGTCTCCATTTTTACGGATGAGAAAACTGAGGCTGAAAAGTTAAATAACTTGTCCAAGGTCACACAGTTAAGTAGCAAGAATGAGATAAAAACTTGGGCCTGTTTAATCGAAAATTCATGCTTCCTGCCAATTTTACCATGTAAATTTGTCCTTTTAGACAATTTCATGCCAATACCTCTATCATTAAGACAAGACACTATCTGTTCAATCCAAAAGGAACACTGATTCCATACTTTTATAAGGAACTATAGGGAATACCAATGATTTTATCATCAAAACAGTATAAAAAAATCTCTTATGGTCACCTCAATCATTTGAAATCTGGTATTAAAGAAATGCACTTAATAATTATTAAATATGAATAAAAATGAGTATTTATTCAACCTGTATATTCTATTCTGTTCAAGAGTAAATCCAATTCAGACAAAATGGGACTTTTTGTGAGTATATATACTTTCATAACGGAAAAAAAGTTATTGTCTAGTAGTCAACTACTAAATTCAGATGCACGACAAAAACAATAATCCCATCCCACATTTTATAAATAAAGTCACAAAAAAACCCAGAAAAATGTGTCTTTGTAAATGATCCTTTTAAAGTGTCTATATATAATAGGATCTAGAGTATGAGTGTATAATGAATCAAAGACAGTGGACTATAAAAAATTAGTCACTCATACCCAAACTGTTATATCCTAAAGTTTTAAATTGTTATTTTCGGAATGCTGTGGAACAATGACACTGACATATGCTCTTGGATATTCACTAAGTCAAACCTTCACCTTCCAAAAATGAATTTGCTTTTCGGAAAGGTCCAAACGTCATAGAGTCCAAGTCTACAGTATAAGTGAATGACAAACTGCAAAGCACTTCTAGACAAATATTAAGTGTATCTATGAAGTAAAACTGATGATTTTCTTACGTGCCACAAACAGGTTCTGAAAGTAATTTCAAGTGGAAATTTCAGACCTTTGCACAAAAGTCATAACTAAAGAAAGTGCTACATTCTTAAAATAATCATGCTGGAAAAACAGAACTCAACTGAAGCTCAACTGAACAGACATTATGTTTTAAAAAGCAGACATTCTGTATGAAGGGAACAATAAAAACTTTTTCTTTTAAAGAGAATGAGAGCTTACTGGGACAGTAAATATGAATCAAGTAAAAGAATCTGAAAGAATTCTAAAATGACTGATAGTAAAGCTTTAATTATAAGCAATACAAAATTTCTCTCTTTAGGAATTTACTTATTTTTTTGAAAGCAGACATATTCACATTTACAAGAAATAGCTAATAGATTATAAAAACCCACTCCCTTTTATGCTAAAATTCCATAAATAGAATTGGTAAGTCTGTTTTCACTAAGTTAGCTGTTAAGGTGTCTTTTATATAACTCATATTCCACAGTAAATCTACTTTCAACTTTTCCTATTTGGAATAAAACTCGTAACTAAATAAGAAAGGCTGCTTACACTTTTACTCGGTTTTAAATCTCCAAGGCCATCAAACCATAACAAGATATTGACAGTGACCACTTCCAAAAGTGGCATACTAAACAAAATACAAAGTATTGGGAAGGGTTATTACCTGAAATTCAAACAAAACACAAGTTAAAAAAATTTTTTTAAATCATTAATAAATTTAGTGTCACATTGTACAATACTAATTACAAAGTATTTACTATTAATATAGTAGAATTTTAGGGCAAGAACAAAAGAAAAAAAGGACTTGATTATTTTCACTTATCAAATTTATACCATATTGAAGAACTGAATGCCAGGTTATCTAAGTTTATACCTATTTATACATTTAATTTACAGTGTTTCCTCAATTTATATACAATATTTCAATATCCAGTATTTATCTGCTTGGGATGGTAAACTTTTAAAAACATACAACGAGCTCATTTATAAATTAAACAACTGAAAAATTGGGACTTCAACCAAAAAGCTTTACTCGATTAACATTTAGAAGAGTATAGTTGTTGTAAAAACTGAGGTAGATCTTGAAACACTAATAAAAACACTAGTAAAAATTTAATGAGTCTACTAAATGCTCTAAAATCAAAGACAGACTATTCAAAAAGGGAGTAAAGGTCTTTGCCTTTGTGTCACCATTTCTTATGATCCTGTTTTTTACTCTTCAAAATGTTAATATCTTCTTGTGTTTTTCTACATAAATGCCACTCTACAGGATCCTTAACCATAGATTCCGAGGCTGTTAGGTCTTATGAAGATTACAGTAACTTAACCACTATCCTAGAATGGTGCCAATTTCAGAAAAGATGTTTTACTTAGCTATGTAATAGCTGATATGACTACTAAGTTAGATGAGGTTGAACTTAAAGGTTATTAATGTCCTAATTCAATATTTACTCCATTACCAGAAAATAGACTACTTGTACAACCTGTAAAATTTTTAACAGTAAGGACTTCATTCTTAAAGCAAAGAATGACTGGGTAACTTTGTCCAAGGGAATCTTGGGAAAATGTGAAAGCCAATGATTTTCAAACATTTATAGATATTCAATATAGTAATATCTACAAATAAGATACTTTTAAAATTCTAATTTATATCAGTTATTCATACAGTTATATTAGCTAAAAATCTCCAAAACTGTCAGAGTATAGTATACTAAATGTCATAACCTTCCTTGACTTGTTCAGAATGCTATGTGTGGCATGCTGACTTCTGTGTTTTTAAACAGTATTTACACGACTGCTGATAAAAAGCATGGTATAGTTTTGAAAGGGTATATGGAAAACTGATTGCTTCTGAGGCGTGGAGCTGAGAGATGAAGACAGGGATATAATGGCAAACAAATTTTCACTATATAGCATTTGAATTTCAAACCATGTTCATGTATCATATATTGCTTGAGTTTAAATCCAGGCTCTGCTGTTTACTAGCTGTGGACCTTGGGCAAGTTATTTTATTTAAACCATTTCTGTGCCTTAGTTTCTTTATCTATCGAGTGGAGTTAACACAATATATCTCAAAAAGGATTTAAATAAATTAGTATTTGTGATGCACATATGATAGTACCTAGTAGTACAGGTTAAGCATGCAATAGATAAATACGTATATTATATACATACACATATATACATATGCACATATCACACACACACACACACATCAACTAGGAATTTCTGTCTATTCATACCTGGTAAATTCTAACACATACATTCTGGCTTCTTTTGATAAGTATGGCATCTTTAACTTTTTTGATTTAATAAATGGTGGTGTCATATCTCCTACTGCTGAGCAACGACTGAATCTATGGTATCTTTTTTTTTTTTTTAACTACATCTTAGGTTTAGATATTTTCTTAGACTATTTTAAAAACCAGTTTAAATATTTTTGCTTCTCTCTTCACTTTTTATTTCATTAATCTCTGCTCTTAAATCTTTATTTCTCTCTTCTTTCTTGAAGTTACCTGTTCTTTTTGTCTACCTTTGATCTTGAGGCTTAACTGATTAATTTTTAGTCATTCTTCTTAGCTAAGTATCCTCTCTGAGTAATATTTTACCTCCATCCCATGTGTTTTGATATGTAATAATTTCATTATTCAGTTCTCAAAATTTTCTGATTTCCATAACAAGTCTTCTTGACACATTAATTTTCAGATATTTAATTTTTCTAAATATGAGAAGTGATTTTGTTTCTCTTTTGCTACTGACTTTAATCTGTTCACAATGTGAACACAGAATGTAGTCTAAAATGATACAGACTTAAAATTTCTAAAGATTTCATTTTATATCTATCAAAGTAATAATTCATAGCTTAAAACTCATATAGCACTACAGGCTTACATATATAACCTGCAGACTCCTCCCCAATGGTACCCTACTCCTCACAACACTGTCCTGAGTAGCAACTCTGATTTCTAAATACCTTGCTTATATAGCCATTTCTTCATTGTTCGATTTTATACATTATTTTCTTCTTACTACTGAAAGTGAAGTTTTTGGCTAAATTATACCTCCCACTCCTACACCTTTTACAAAGATCTAAATTTTCTCTGCCCTTGCAAATCTGAAAATATGTGTATTGTACCCTCTTTAAATTCAGTTTGGCTAAGCATGGAATTCTAGGTTGAAAACCACATTCTCATAATTTTGAAAGAATGGCTTCATTAGAGTCTAGTTTCCATTGTTCCAGGTGGCAAGTCTGCTACTTTTGATTTTGATCCTCGAACTCTGAAGGTAATCTGCTGGCCTCCCCTCCTTCCTCCCAAGCCCTTCAACATGGGATAGAAACTGTTTGAGAGCCTTACTTTATCCCTGACAGTTCTAAAATTTGCTCCAGTGTAGGACTTTTTACATTTATTGAGTTAGTCCATCTCAATGTTGCACCTTCTTAAACTGAAGGCTCCTGTCCCATCAATTCAAAGATATTTCTTGTTTTGTGGCTTTAACAATTTCCTCTTCCCATTTTCTGTGTCCTCTCTTTTACTAGATGATTGCTGGATCTGCTAGACTGGTTCTCAAATCTTCCTTCTTTTTGGAAGATTTCCCTATTTCATCTTCCAAAACTTCCCCTGGACTTTTTATTTCTATTGTATTATAACTTCCAAAATATTTCTTGCTCTTATTCTCTTATTCTTTCTGTTCACAGGTATTGTGCCCTGTCCTTGTTTGATGAATGTAGTATTAATAATGTCTAAGGATATTAATTCATTTTGGTTTTTCTGAGAATTTCATTTGTTTTTGCCTCTTCCAAGTTCCTATACTTCTATTATACTTATTGTTTTGTTTTTTGTTATTTCATATTAGAAGTTTTATCAAATATCTGGTAATTGTTGCCCCAGTGACTTTGGGCTTGGCCATGCTACTTGCTTTGGTGAAGAAAATGTGAATGGACATCATGTACACCATCCATGCAGAAGCTTTACATGTCTTTGTGATTTGGCTCTGTCCTCATCCCTGAACTTCTCTGATCTCTGCCATGGGAGAGAACAGCATATTACTGATAGTTGCTGCTCATTACAGACACTAGAATGAGAAGATCTGTGAGCCCAGTGGAGCTCAATAAAGTTGGCAATATGGCTGCAGATGATCACCAGTCCTCACAGGGCCATGTATAAGCAAAAACATAGGTGTTGTAACTACTGAGATTTGTGATCCCATTTTTGGGTTAAAATGTACACATATACTTATAGATACATAAAATATTTCTAAAAGGATCCACCAGACAATGGAAGTGAAGGGTCAGAGAAAGGGAATATCAATTTTTGTTATATTCTTAGGTACTTGCTAACATATGTTTATGGAAAAACATTTGTCTTTATAATAATGTCACATAAAAAATTCTAGTAAGAAAAAGGCAGAATGAAAGGTCATTAAGAGCCCTGAGTAAAAGAAAACTTGTCCAATTAAAAGTTTTTCTAAAAATGCTTTTATATTAAGGCAATATATTCTCAGTTTAAACATTATGGAAACCAGAGAAAGGTATAAATAAGAATAAAAAATCTCCAATTATGCCAACAACCAGACATACAATTTTATTTGTACCATTTCAGAGATATGATTCATCACCCTGTATATGTAATTCTGTACTCTGCTTTTTAATTTTATATTATAATAAGCACTTTCCAGTGTTAAGAATTCATGAACCTCACTTTTAATTACTACATATATCCCACCATACAGATGTCATAGCTTAATTATTTCCTTAGCGTTGGACAAACACATTAATTTCAGTTTTTTACTACCTTCAGTAATGTCTCAATAGACATTTCCAGGGATAAAGCCTTTCCTGTATTTATGATTTTTCTTTAGGATGTATTCCTATTACCAGAATTGCTGGGTCAAAAGACACGAATATGTTCAGTCTTTTGATACATACTGCCAGACCGCTTCTAAATAAATTATATGTATTTACACTCCCACCAATAATATCAAGGCAGTCATATCATTGAGAACTCTTATAGGACAGGCAAAAACTGGTACATCAGTAACTGTTTTGATATTTCTCATTCCTAAGAAGCTGAGTATCTTTTCACATGTTTATCAGACATTTCAATTTTCTTTCATACAAATTCTGTGTTGTTTTTCATTTGTTTATTAATCAAAATCTTAGTGCTTTACCAACAGATTTGAAAATAATAATTTTTCTCTCCATATTAAGCTTGGAAAGTCTTCCATTCTTTGTGGTTTTATACCTAATAATAACAACATATCAACAAACCCTTCCTTCCATGCCCTCGCTAACATAATATCTATCTAGTCTCTAGCCGTACATCAAAACATCTGTGGGATATTCATCTCAGAGATTTTAATTCAATTAGTAAAAGACAGAGCTAAGTAAATGTATTTTTAAAATTATATTTATTGGGAAGACATTGGTTACTGAAATTGGTAAATATATTTTTAAAAAGATGAGACTAGAAAGGTGAAAAACAATGCATTATGTTCTAGGATAGAATGGGAATTAGTTTTAGGTCTTTTCTGTCTCTCTTTTTATTCCCTTGAGGTCCAAAAGGTGCAATGACTCTGACTCTAATCTGCTTAAAACCTGAGGGGAGGCCCTGGCCAGGTAGCTCAGTTTCTCAGAGCATCATCCTGACAGGCCAACGTTGCAGATTCGATCTGCGGTCAGGGCACATACAAGAGTTAACCAATGAATGCGTAAATACAAGTGGAACAACAAAAATCAGTGTTTCTCTTCCTCTCTCTAAAATCAATTAATTTTTTTTAAATGAGGGGAAAAAGTGGCATACAATAAATTTTTGGGGGGGGAAAGTAAGATGCCACTATTCATCATGGGACTTTACAAAAGCCATGTCTCTTACCTGGTTGGAGAGTACTAGGAAAAGACAAGGTGACCTTTTCATCTTCATTCTGATAGTTAAATCCTGTAGCATGTATTTCTGGAATGGAAAAAAAAAGTTACAATAAATCTGAATGAACTAATAAGGGCAAATGTAAACTACAACAATTAACATTTTCAGGAGCAATATCTCTACTGAAACTATATATTCTTAATTAAATAAACTAAGTTCCTACTAATAAGAGTGTCATTTCAAACTAACCTATTAAGGATATGATGTGATTACATTAAATATGTGCCTTAAAAACAATCCCTGCATGTCCTATTATATTAATTCTAAAACTTTATGATACAATGGAAATGGGGCTTATACATGTGAAAAGGTTTTCTACCAGATTCTTAGGCCTGCTTCATTTTTCCCTCTGTGTGTCAATATTACTGTCTATGTTTCAGTCTTATCCATAAACATTTGCAGATGGAGAAAACTGCTGAGCTCTATCCCCCACCCAAATATAGGTAACAATTCTAACTAAGACATAAATCATAGTAACTTCCAGTAAAACTCTTTATACATTTTACAGAAATAAAGTAGGTGAAAACAGGCGTGTGGGGTTAAATTAAGGCCTTAATTTACTCTCTACCAGGAGTGAGAAAAGACTGCTTATTTGACTACAACTTCAGAAAACTTAATTGACACTTTAGGGAAAGAGCTAAGCAGATTAACTTCCAATCATTTTACATCCCATCCGAAATGAAAATCAGCAATCAAAAAGGTAGCCTTAATAAGCACATGAAAAGATGTTTAACATCATTAACTTTCAGGGAAACGCAAGTCAAAACCATAGTGAGATACCACCTTACAACCACTAGTATGAAAATAATAATGATGATTATGATAATACTAAGTTTAAGGGAGGGTGTAAACAAATTGGAACCCTCACATACTGCTTGATGGTAATGTGAAGTACAGCTGCTTTGGAAAACAGTCTAGCAATTCCTCAAAAGATTAAATACAGTGTTACCAATCTGACCCAGCAATCTCACACTTAGGTATATATCCAAGAGAAATGAATAACTACATCCACACAAAAACTTATACAAATGTTTATAGTAGCATTATTCACAATAACCAAAGCGGAAACAACCCAAATGTCTATTATTTGATGAACAGATTAAATATGGTATACAATAAAATATTATTTGACAACAAAAGAAATGAAGTGCTGATATATGCTACAATATGGATACCCACTGAAAACATTATGCTACATGAAAAAAAAGAAACAAAAGGCCACATATTTATAAGAAATGTCCAGAATAGGCAAATCTATAGGGACAAAAATATAGATTAGTGGTTGCGTAGGGCTGGTACATTAGTGGCTGCGGGGAAATGGGAAATGATTGGTCATGGGTGCTTCCCTTTGGGAATGATGAAAGTGTTCTAACACTGATTCTGGTGATATTTGCACAACTCTGTGAATATACTAAAAACCACTGAATTGTACACCTTAAATGAATGCATAGTATGGCACGTGAATTATATTTCAATAAAACTATTATTGAAAGAGAGAGGTAGTCTTATCAGCCACAGGCTTGGTGTGTTACAGGTAACAGTGACTCAGATTTAATAACATTTTATGAGCCAGACAAGATGCCCACAATTCATTCTTTTTTTATGAATCACACAAAGATTGAATTTCCAATGTTTCTAATATCATTATGGTTCAAATGTCTTTATAAAGCCAAAATCGTTACAAAACCAATAAGAAGCTATAATTTCAGATTTTAAAAGAACTCCAATCAATGACTCCTCATTTCACAGATAAGAAAATGAGGTATATAAAGTAAATGACTCTCCTAAACTCACATAGCTGGACTAGAACTCAGTTTCCTTCCTACTCCTATTGCCAAAATTCTTTCTACTAGCATAAGATAGCTCCTAAATTTGAATAGAAACTCAAGATTTGGCATACGCATGATACTGATGAACACTCTACTGAAACAATGACTTTTGCTGGCAAAAACTAGATCTTTGCTCTGATTCCCTAGAATTACACTTAGCCTATAGGAAAGCCAAGAATCACCTCAGCACTGAGTGAGGAACATACCTTTCTCCAGTGTGGAACACAACTAATCCTGAGAAGCTGGTCAGAGAGAGTTCTCTTATTTGTGTGAAGGGGAGGGTATCCTGGAATGGGCTTGCCCCAAAAGAAGGGCCCATTTTTAAATACACACGCACATACATACATACATACATACATACATACATACATAGAACGTAGCTTTCTAATATATAAAACAGTATTATCGCAACTCTGAATTACTGTGATCCAAGACCATCTCTATAAACGTTTACTAAAGCTAACTTGTTTTTACAAATGCACAAAAAAGCTTGGAACTGGTAAAACAAAACAACGGCAGTTTTAAAAATGAAATAATCAAGTATTGTATTGCTAGATCCCATTTTACAGCACATGCTTCCAAATGCACACATCAAATATATTACATGAGCACAAAAAAACAGCAAAATTTTCTCTTAGGAAAGATGGAGTAGCCATATATTTGAATTCTTAAAAAACCTCTTGTATTATGGAATACTCTTCCAATTATTTTATACTGGACAACATACCACTTTGCAAACGTACATTATAGTTTTCCATGGTCAATCATAGTTTTGGATATTCTGTAAATGACACCACCATTTACCCAGCAGCTCAAGCCAAAAATACGGAATCATCCTAACTGCCTTCCTCCTTGTCTGTCTATCTCTCATACCACACATCCAATAAGCAGATTCAGTAGCTTATCCCTTTAATCTCAGATTTTTCAATGTCTCCACCTCTACAACCCCAGTCCAATGTACCATTATTTCTCTCCTAGACCACACTACACAATAGCCTCCTGTTTCCATTTATGCTATGGTCTATTCTTCTTCACACAGTAGCCAGAGTAATGAGAGAGCAAAGCCTCTAATGGAGTGCCAAAATATTCAGAATGAAAAGCTAAGCCTGTTTGAGGCTGGCAATTATTTCTTAGAGATGGGGCGGGAGGGGGGGGGAAGCACTAACCATAAAAAGAAAAAACTTGACAGATCAGATTTCATTAATATTTAAAACTTGACTATCAAAAGACACCTAAGAAAATGAATAGGCAAACCACATGTACATGTTTTCTTTGTCATATATACATGCATTATCTATTTGTCGTATATACATGACAAGGAGCTTGTATCCAGATATATATAAAAACTTCAACTCAATGATAAAAAGACAGACAACTCAATTAAAACATGGGCAGAAACTTGAACAACTTCATAAAGGAAAATATACGAATTTTGCTGAATGTCATTTGCTAAAAAGCAAATTAGAAAGTACTCAACATCATCAGTAGGGAAATATAAATTAAAACCACAATGACATACTACTATATACCCATCAGAACAGCTAAATCTAAAAAGACTGGGAACAAAAATGCTGTCAAGGATGAGGAGCATTACCTAGAACTCATATCTTGCTGCTGGTGCCTCTTTGTTCTTCTTCAAAGAATGCAACCATTTTCCAATGTCAGGGTTTCTGCAAGTGCTTGGAAAATTCTTTCTCTAGACAGCTACACACTTTATGTCATTCGGGTCTCTGCTCAAGTCACTCCTTTCAAGATCCAGCCTACCGTTTTAAAGAATACTCCTCACTCTGTATCTTGTTATTGTGATTTCTGAGCACTTATCACTACTTTACATTACATATTTGTTATTGTACATCTTTCTAAAATGAATATATGTATCTGGAATGTTAATTCTTGGTTTTGTCCACCACTCTACCTCCTATGCTAGAACAGTTTCTGGTACGTAGTATGTTCTGTAAACATGAGCAGAATAAATTAATTACTTGAAAAAGCAATAGATTAAGTGATTATGTCATGGAGGTCATCAATACTACCCATACAAGATAGATTAATGAACACTACCTTTACTAATTTCATATGAATGGGGACTTATGGCTAAAATTTCCAGCTACAGCATAATACTATATTGATTCAAAAAGGGATTTATCTCAAAAACCTTCAAAGATAATATCTGCTCTGAAACTGACTCTTCAAAAATTGAAAAGCCATTAATATGAAAGATACATATGAAAAGTCTGAATAAATATGCTTCACTGACACTGAAGTAGAAAAGGCAGTATTTTTAAATTAATGTTTATATTACTTCAATAGTAATATACCAATGTAATAGTTTATATTAACATATTTTATCATTTAAAATGTATAGATATGACCTTATTAAATAGACATTTGTGCATAAGTAATAAACTTAAACAAACTTAAGTCTGAACAAAAAACTTTTTAAAAAACCCCATAAACAGAGAATAGGAGAAAATCTTATCATCAGGCATATATGGTATTAAATTCTGAGCTTGTTTTAAAATTAAAATCATTACTTACAAAATTAAAATCATTACCTACTTCTCAGTTATTTAAAGATTATATAAAATACTCTGTATAAAGTGCTCAGCATAGTGCCTAGTTATACTCATTAAAAATGCTCCTTTCTAGGTAACATATCTAACACAGTACTTCATTGATTCAACTATAACTAATATATTATACATGTATAAATAAGGACTATTACTGAAATTACTTATCATGCTACATTTCAGAAAAAAATTTAATAAAATTGTCATTTTCAAATCTATGGATATCAACATACATACTTGGGTATAAGCATGCATGTGTGAGTGGCATGTTACTAGTCTACAAAGTAGAAGCAAAATTTGAATATAACCATACATGCATAAAACCATGACAAGAAAAAATCTCATATTCCAAACAACTGCAATAGAGACTCACTTTGGTCTACAGCTATACCACCGTCTGACCTCGGAAGCTAAGCAGGGTCAGGCCTGGTTAGTACTTGGATGGGAGACTCACTTTGACTATAACAGTTTACTCATGACAATACAGACCTACAGATTGCATAACAATATAGAACTATATATTGGATTTTAAATGCTTGCTTTAAAAAGTAATTAAGATATCATTCTGACTATAAGTTTGAAAAATCAGAACTTTCAGGCAAGATAACAGCACAGGTAAACATGGCTCATCTCCTCACACAACCACATCAAAATTACAACTAAAGTATAGAATAACCACCACTCAGAACTGTCAGAAATCGAGCCAAATGGAAGTCTGACAACTACAGAATTAAAGAAAACACATTTGAGAGAGAGATCTCAGGAGCAAGGAATCCCAGACGCTCACCAGGACCCCCAGCCCAGGGTTCCAGTGACAGAATGGTAAGTCCCCATTCATTTCTGGCTGCAAAAACCAGCAAGGGCTGAGTTGGTGGAAGAAACTTCTGAAGTCCCAAGCAGTTCCTCTTAAAGAACCCACACATGGATGTACTTAGACTCACTGCCTTTGAGTTCCACCACTGGGGTAGCAGCTTGAAAGGCACCAGTGGCATACAGGGAGGAACTGAAGTTTCTAGTGTCAAGGCATGAGCTGGGGAAGAACTTTCTCCCAGACAGAAAGGTGGGCAGAGGACACTGTTTCTTTTCTGAACCCGCCCCTGACACAGCCCAAGGGCCAGCAGACTGGTGCAATATATGAGACTCCATCAACCTGGCTAGCCCTGGCTGGTGTGGCTCAGTGGACTGAGTACCAGCCTGCAAACCAAAGGGTCAACGCTTTGATTCCCAGTCTAGGGCACATGCCTGAGTTGCAGACCAGGTCCCCAGTAGGGGCTGCCTGAGAGACAACAACACAGTGATGTTTCTCTCCCCTACTCCCTCCTTTCCCCACTCTAAACAAACAAATAAAATCTTTAAAACAGATTTCTAAAAAAAAACAAAAACAAAAAAAAAACCTGGCTAACACTGTTTGGTCCACCCTGGAGATCCCCAGAGACTTTGTCCCACCCAACTTCTGGGCCCACCCAAGCTGCTTTTCCATATGAATGGCTGGTCTTGGCTCATGCTTCCTAAACTTTCTAAATCCTCTCAATCAACAGTCAGCCTCTGCTAGTCCCCAACCCCCATACCTCTTGCTAAGGGGCCACAGGCCAGGCACTAGCAGCAACTAGCCTAGATTCATAGCTTGGCTTCACCTGGGAATCTCTAAGCTCAGCACAAGTAGCAGGCATTTCACATTACTTTATATCTCAGGCAGGGTGGCCCTGGGCAAAAAATAAGCAGGGACTGACTTTGGCCTGCACCACCTGGAAAACCCCAGGGCCTGCACTCCCAGTGGACAGCTACAGAGCACGTCAGAGCACCGTCACCCTGCCCCCACACAGCTGACCATCCATAGAGCTTGGTGGTCGGTGGTCACAGCCAGTCCTTACAGCTGACCAGCCTGGGTAAATCCTTCCCATTGATCTGCCAACAGCAACCAATACTCAACTACAAGAGGATGTACTCAGCTCACACAAAGGACACACCTCTAGTACTCAGCCTAGGTGAAAGGGGAGGCTGTGCCACTGGATCCTACAGGAAATCTACTACATTAAGCCATGCTACCAAGACAGGGAGTCATAGCAGCTCTACCTAATACATAAAAACCATCACAGAGAGGCTGCCAAAATGAGGAGATAAAGAAACACTGCCGATCTTTCCAGAGGGTAACATTGTGCAAAATGGTCTAACTGTGACTAAAAGAAGATAAGCACTCTTAATCTTTGTACCACTTAGTCTCTACCAAAATTTTAGGACCTCTCTCATGTGAGTTCTTCCAGAACACGAAGTTTGCTTTCTGTTCAACGTTTGTGCAGGCATGTTTCCTTTAAATTATCTTATTCACTTCCATAAAGAATATCAAAGTCCTCAGGAAACAAAGGGTTCAGCTTCTACAGCCCCTTCATGAATCTATCTTACATCATTGTAATTATCCCCTCTCTCTGCTGGTCTTTATCACAATACTTTGTCACTTAATATGTTAATTCTGGTTCTTCTCTTCTGCCACAAAAAGCCTCAAGGGGGATACAATGCCTTTTCTTTAGTAGGCACATATATCTGTAAGGGAGCCTACTATTATTGTAAAAGTCAATTTGTATTATCAATGAATAACCAATCAGTAATTATAAGATAACTCCTTTCCTTATAAATTTAAATCAGAGTTTCTCCTAAATGAAAGTTCGCTAACAATATCCGTATGCACTTACAATCATATACTGTCTCCATTTAATACTTTATTCAATCAGGATAATTATTATCCTACATATAACAACAAATGTAAAAAATAAAGAATAAACAAACAATATTTTCCTCTCTGTGAACCACAGGTTTCCTGTAGGTTTCACTGATTCTCTGATCTCTGACATTAATGATATGAACATAAAACATTATTTAGATACTGAAGTGTCTCACCCTTTTCTCCAACGTAAATAGTATGAGTAGTCATAAAAATCAAATCTATTTTAAAGTACTACTAACCTCATAGAAGACTGACCAAAAACTTAATCAATAGATATTAAAAATATGATCACTATGATGTGAACCAGCAAATGGAGCACTGCGTATGAGTAGGAAAAGCATAATGTTCTAGTAAGTGGTACTAGGAGAACGGAATTCCAACTGGGGGATAAAAACCAAGCTAGACCTGCACTCACACCATACCTAAGAAGTAGATCATGAAAGTCAAAACAATAGTTTTTAGAACATATATAGGAAGATAGCTTCATGATATTGGAAAAGAAGTTTTTTAAAGACATAAAATGCGGTAACTATAAGGGAAAAGAATGATAAACTTGACCCCATGAGAGCTGAGAACTTCTGTACATGAAGAGGCACCATTTAAAAAGTGAAGCTGCAGGTTCTGGCAGGGTAGCTCAGTTGGTTCGAGTGTCATCCCAATATGCCAAGGTTGTAGGTTCAATCCCTAGTCAGTATGCATACAAGAATCAACCAATGAATGCATAAATAAGTGGAACATCAAATCGATGTTTCTCTCTCTTCCTCTTTTTAAAATCAATTTTTAAAAAAGGCAAAGATGCAGTAGATATATGGAACACATTAAGTGACAAAGAACCTATATCCAAAACATGAAAAGAATTCTTTTAAATCAAAAAAGACATAGAACACAGTAAAAAACAAAACAAAACTCCAACACATCACAATAGAGGAAATACATATGACCTATATACATATATATTTATTTTTTAATGTAATCAACCTTATTAAAATAGAAAATAAAAATTAAAACCTCGCCCTGGCTGGTGTGGCTCAGTGCATTGAGCTCCAACCTGCAAACCAAGGGTCACTGGTTTGAATCCCAGTCAGGATATATGCCTAGGTTGCTGGCCAGGTCCCCTGTGGGGGAGACGTGTAAGAGGCAACCACACATTGATGTTTCTCCCTCTCTCTTTCTCCCTCCCTTCCCCTTACTCTAAAAATAAATAAATAAAATCTTTAAAAAAAAAAAATTAGAACCTCAATCAGATACCACTGCATTCCCACCAGATTAACTGTGTGGTTAAACTGCGAAGAAAAAAAAATAACGAACAGCTGAGGAAGGGAGGTTGGGGGGAGGACTATGTTAAAGAAACAATAGCCTAAGAGCTGACTTCTCAAAAGTAACATTGGAAAGAAGATGACAGTGGAATAAAACAATGTACTGAAAAAAAATTGTCAATCTAGTATTTCATAGCCAGCAAAAATAATCTTCAACAATGAATGTTTTAACACTGGTATATGTAACTGTTGAAACTCACTGAAACACAGAAGACACCAAATATTAATACATTTTATTGTATGTAAATTATATAAAGTAGGAATTTAAAAGGCAGGTTAAAAAATAAAGAAATAAAAGAGACTTTTCTATCAACAAACCCATACTAAAATTTACAGGTGTATTCTTCAAACAAAAAGAATGGTTCTAGAAAGATTGCTGGAATGAAGACCAACAAAAAATAGTAAATATTTGGGTAAAGCTAAATGAACACTATATTATAGAACAATAACAATTTCTTACAACTTTAAATAAAATAAAAACACATATGTAAAAAATTAAGCTGCCCTGACTGGTGTGGCTCAGTGGATTGAGTGCAGGCCTGTGAACCAAAAGGTCTCTGGTTTAATTCCTAGTCAGGGCACATGCCTGGGCTGTGGGCTGGGTCCCCTGTAGGCAACCACACAGTGATGTTTCTCTCCCACTCTTTCTCCCTTCCTTCTCCTCTCTCTAAAAATAAATAAATAAAATCTTCTTAAAAAATTAAGCTAAACTACACCACAACAATAGCACCTAAGTTAGAGGGAGATAGAGAGTAAGTCCTCTAAGATCCTTGTATTATCCAGGAGAAGGGTAAAATAATTAACAATGAATTTTTTTTTAAGTCAAGAATGGCTGTTGTAATTCCTGAGGTACTGACACACATACAAGTAACAACAAAATTTTTTAAACCGTTCTAATTAAGAGAATATGGAAAGCACATTAAGAAAATGGCAAAGTAGGTTAATTCCCTCTCCGAGGGGCCTAATAGCGCCCCTCTTTAGGAAAGTAGCAACTTGGAGTAAATCTGGTATGTCTCAGGTTTCCTGGGAGAAGGTGATACGTAATTTCCTTTGCCTTCCTTTGGCGGCCTACATGTAAAAAATTTATCTGTATCTATAATTTGGTCTTTTGATGAAATATATGCTGGGTGTGAGATAAGAAAATCCTTGTGCGCCCTGGCTGGTGTGGTTCAGTGGATCGAGTGCCAGCCTGCGAACCAGAAGGTCACCAGGTGATTCCCAGTCAGGGCACGTGCCTGGGTCGCAGACCAGGTGCCAGTTGGGGGTGTGCAATGGGTACACCCAGATTGATGTATCTCTCGCACATCAATGTTTCTCTTCCACTCTTCCTCCCTCCCTCTCTCTAAAAATAAATAAAATCTTTTTTTAAAAAATGCTTCTTTAAAAAATAAAGAAAGAAAATCCACATGCATATTATTCTTCTTTTACTTGGATCGATTTTGGGAAGATAGAAAATGAAAGATGCAAGAATGGCTCACAGTAAAGCTCTCATCTTGGCCATTAAAAAAAAAAGGTCGATTTAAAGCCAAACAACAGCAATTACACTAAACCTAGATGGATTAAAAGCTTTATTTAGAAAACAAAGATTTTCAGAGTGGAACTATAAAGGGAAAAAAGTACAATAAGCTAGTTATATGAGATATATGTAAAACATGGATTCAGAATGAATGAAGGTAAAGAAGATAAAAAAATATGACATGCAAATATTAACCAATAGTTTATAAAACAAGATAAAAGGGGAAAATCAGTAAAAACAAAGGTTTAAACAAAATTAATAAATATGACTTAATAATACATACACAAAATATTAACAATTACAGAATCATACTCTTTTCAAACATATGGAAACATTTTAAAAATTGACCATATCTTGGACCACAAAGCAAGTCTTTAAAGTCCAACATATTGAAATCATGTAGTGTGTTCACTGACCATAACACAATTAAAACTAGAAAATCTCCAGGTACATCTAAACATTCCTTGGATCAAAAATCAGGAAATATTTTGAACAAAATGATAAAAAATACTGCATATCAAAAAATGCGGAAGCAGATCAGTGGTTGCCTGGGGATAGTGGAGAAGAGGAGGAATGGATTACAAAGGGGCATGAGGAAATGCAGGTGTGGTGAATGTGCATTATCCCACATTGTACTCATAGGTCAAAAGTATCAAATAAATTGTACAAATAAATATGTACAATTTATTCTATGTCAATATTGCATACACCGTCATATGGCTATTAAAAAAAGCAGAGCCCTGACTGGAGTGGCTCAGCTGGTTGGAGTGTCATCCTGTAAACCAAGAGGTCATGGGTTCAATTCACAGTCAGGTTGCAGATTCAACCCCCCCTCCCATGTGCCCCGCATTAAGATACATGTGAAAGGCAACCTATTGATGTTTCTCTCTTGCACAGATCTCTCCTTCTTTCTCCCTCCCTTCCCCTTTCTCTAAAAATAAATAAAATCTTTTTACAAAAACAGATAAATAACATTATATTTTATTATAAGGGATAAGATAGCTAAGATTCCTTATAATTCCTATAATTTGGAACTATTTACCACAGAGCTTTCCCAGTGTTTTGTGGCAATTTGAAATATGAATTATAGGTTTGCCAAGATATTAATTTCCTTGATCCTTATATCAGCCAGATAGGGCCTGAGCAATGAGAGACCTCTGACAACCTCCCCGTGTGAGCTTCTTCTTTCCAGTATTCCAAGGAAACATTGTTATTTTCTATTATTTAGAAATAATAGGGGGGAAACATTAAGAAACATTGATTTGAACAACTAACTCTCCCAGCCTAGCATGTATGTTATACTTAGGTTCCTTTCATTTAAAATTTCCTTATGAAATTCTATATCATATTTCAGTACATTTGTATTAGAAATAGATCTTTACCTTCTCTCTCAATCTCCCCGATTTGAGGGCTAGCACTTAATCACTTCTGTATGTATTTGGAACTCTATTGCAAAAGAGTTGGTGGTTTATTAATGTTATTATTAATCCGCACATACCTGTATGACAGACTATATATTACTAATAGTTGGGTGAAGGCTTATGATCAAGTCTCAGGAACCATTCCTTTTTTTCAAGTTAATAGTTTTGTTCTAAATTAGATTATTGTTTGGCAATATTTTTTCTGACTAAGCTGTTTTATCCTTTTATTAAACACACATGTACAGAGGCATACACTGAAAAATACAACCCTACTTCAAGAATAAACCTGTTGAAGTTTACATGTCTTATATGGATAAACCAAAGTGATACTGTTAGATCTGATTAGAATTTTGTATGAAATATTGTCACTGATGAAAAATGTTTTTCTTATACAGCCAATTCTACATATACCTGACAGAGTATACTAAGGGAAAAGTTGGTACAAAACTTTCAAGTCATCATTTCCATGTGGCTATGCCCAAGCTATCTATTAATGATAAGTTAAAAGACTCTTTTACCTGTCAGGACCTGAGTTCAGGCACTCAAAAGTTTCGTTATTTCTCTTGCAGAAGCTGATGACAATACTAGTCCCTGCACTGTGTAGGGAGGTGGTTTCCTTGCACTGGTTTAAATGCTAGTGATTTCACCAACCCTTGAAGTGCAGAACAGTAAAAAAAAAGTTTTCAGCTGTTTTTCTTACTGACTTATCATTTTTTTTAATATTATAAAATAAGATCTCAAATAAGTTTTAAGATAAATTATTTCTGTTTAAAAAGCAGTGCCTTACTGAAAAGAGACACATGCCAATAGGCGTTTCTGGGTTACTGCGCATATCACAAGAAGGCCTTTTTCATCAATTAAAAACTTACACAAAGAAGGCGCAATTTTATGCCTTCAAATGATTTTCTGATTTTACCTTAAAACACCAAAATTTGGTGGCTACAGATAAGTAAATCGATCTTACAGAAGGAACTCAGCAGTATTAATAGGTACTACATGAGATTAGCTGGGTTAATAAATGTCATCTCTGCTTTAGACTCATTTGTTCCTTGCCATCAGCCTACAGCCTTGGATGGAGTTGGCAGTCAAATTCACAACTACTAGTTTGTAAAGAAACAACATGTTATATTCTCTCATAAGACAAAAATTAAAAAAATGCTACTATGTCCAAGGAGAAAACGAAGTTTTATATACATATACAGACATATATAGATATACCTAGAAGGCCAAATCTATCTTTGTTTCTGACTGAAACCTTAAAATGCCAAATTCATACAACATCCATTCCCTTATACTCAAAATAAAATGGGCTTACCACACAGCACTCCAGGATTTTCCTGTTACTATAGGAGAAACATTGAGAAGTATACCTTCGCTAGTTCTAAAGAAAATATTCTATGTATCTAAAAAAATGTAATATTTTATCTGAATTCTCTCCAAATCCTCTTCACTTCCTCTACATTTTCATTTCTCTTCTGACCCTCTTAGTGAGAGCACTAACACTGCTTCCTTGAGATTCAGATCATTACAAGCTTAGCACCATTCAATTATGCATATTCAAAACATTTAAGTTCTCAAAATTCTTAGTTGACATTTTAAAAGAAGAAGATAGAAAACACACCTGAGCCGAAATCATGCCAGCTAGATGGTGCACATCTCTTATACTACCTCTCTGTCTATACTAGACACCATTTTAAAACCCTACACTGAATTTAAATGTTCTCTACCTAGAATAAAGAAAGCTTGCCTTGATGTACTTGGCTGATGTACTTCCGTTTGCCTTCAGTTAAAGAAACTAAATAATCTCTTTCTCAATTACCAAACAATTTTTTAAAAGTTGGCATGCATTCAAAATCCATCTGAAGGATCTGTTCCCCTAACTTAAAATCGCAGCAATTTGATCTCATTTACATACAGTTGAACATAAGTATTTCTTGGCAATAATATGCTCAACTGCTACTTACTTTTTTTTTTTTAAGAGATGGGGGAAGAGAAGGAGAGAGGGAGAGAAACAGCAATGTGTCGTTGCCTCTCATGTGCCCCTCTACTGGGGACCTGGCCCACAACCCAGTCACGTGCCCTGGCTGGGAATCAAACCAGCAACCTTTTGGTTTGCAGGCTGGCACTCAATCCACTGAGCCACACCAGCCAGGATGCTACTTAACTTTATTTTGTCTCTCTATGGATAATTTAAGAAAAATTCATGAAATAAATATTACCAGGCCTTAAAATTTTACTTGTATGCTTCTTTTCATTATAAAGGAGAGGGGAACTAGCAATACAAAAATTAAATTAAAAGGTCAAATTTCTAACTTATTTTATATCAAATGAGAAGACTTTCTAAGAGAAAGCTTCAGAGTAATAGCGACTAACCAATAAACCATTCAGACAAGGAATGTTAAGATGAAGTCAAAAGTTAAGCGCAACTGAGTTCCAATATTAATATATGTGTCAGTTTATGCCAAACTTGATAACTTTTAGAAATGCAGCTTATGTGGAAATGAGTTAATGCCAGAACTCACTATTAAATTTAATCCTCACTGTAATTACGAGGTCTAAAATAGTTCTCTTTTTAAAGATGTGCATTGAATTCCTACACATTCTATACCATGTTTCTTTTAAAACTATTTTCCCCTGTGACTAACTCCATCATCTAGCTTCTAACTCTCATATTTGATCTCATAAAGTAAATAGTTTTCTCTCAGTTATGAGTAAGACTTATCTCAATCTTAATCTATAGTTTAAGAGAAAAAAGTACTTCAAGAAAACCACATATAAACTAAGCCCTCTTGTTAAACCTTTTGTGTTCAAATTGCTTAATTTTTAAAATGTCTTCAGCTTTGTATGTATGGTATTATATTCATTTTATATGTAAAGAAATGTGATCTGTCTAAAATCACAAAATAAGTTAATGTTTGAAGTAGAATTAAAATTGGAACATTTCCTTTATTCACAGGACAATCAAATTATATTCAAATGTTTCTCACGAACTTCTGAAGAATCTTCCTATTTCTAATGTCACAAACATTGCTATCTTAACCTACAAAGGTATATTTATATACACATAGAAAACACAAATACGGGGTGGGGCAAAAGTAGGCTTACAGGTGTTCATATAAAAAAAATACAGTAATTACTAAATAATATATTAATAAACTCTTCATGTAATCACAATTGTAAATACCTACTTTTGCCCAACCCTGTACATATCATACACATACAAATAAGGACAGCAAATTAAAATGAAAAACAGCTCTTACCTTCATCTCCTTCTGGTACATATGAAGCTGTAATAATGTCAATATCAGCACAATTCATCACAATCTGATTGGTTGCCTGCCTCACCTAAGGGGAAGAAAAACCAGCAGCGTCAGAAACAGCTTGAGTAATAATATTTACATCTTCATTTCAGCCTAATGTATGTCACAGACAATGTTTCTTTAAAATATTTTATTTAGTTTTTAGAGAGAGATGAAGGGAGGGAGAAAGTGAGGGAGAGAAACATGGATCAGCTGTCTCTCACATGTCCCCAACCAGGCGCAACTGGCCCCAGCTCAGGCATGTGTCAGGACGGGGGATCAAACTGGCAATCCTTCGTTCATAGAATGGCACTCACCCACACAGCAACACCAGCCAAGGCCAATTTTTTAAAACCCCGACATCACTAAAATCTAAATTATTTATGCATCAGTGATAGAAATAAATGAGTAGTTTTGAGTAATTCAAAGCAATTCACATTATATTACAAATAAGTGCATAAGTATTTCACAAAATTTAGACATCTGACCAGTAAGCTAAAATAAAAGTTTTTTTCTACTGAAACCTTGATTATAAGTACTTCATAATTTTTTAAATTTCAAAAACATTTAATTAGAAAACATTTCTTATATGTTGCCATTAATTATGTATTACAGCCCATGAAACCCATCCTGAGACCTTTTATAAGGACAGAGGAAGAAAGCTAGTATTATAAACTATAGCAAAATGTCACAAAACACTCTTTAATTTTTTTCTTTTCCCGAAGAAATATTTTGGGTATAACAGACACTAACGACTCACTATCAAGACTAAATAAAGTTTTAGGGCTTTATCTTACTTGCTTCAGATCCAAAAAAATATAGAAATAATAAAAGCCTTTCCTCTCTTCCTTATTCCCTAGAGACAACCACTATCCTAATTTAGTTTTCTCATGTATGTTTAGTATATGTATAAAAATCAGCAAACAGTGTTTTTAATTTTATATAAATGGTATCAAATTCTGTATATGTAACCTTTTACAACCTGCTTTTTTCATTTAACATTGTTTCTAAGATAGGTAAATGCTGATAAAAGTATACTTAATTCATTCATTTTAACTCCTGCATAGTACTATTCCATTCCATAAATAAAGAAGTTACTCATCCATTTCCTTCCTGAAGGAAGTTAGGTTACTTCCGCTTTTTTACTGTTATTTAAAATAGTGCTACAATAAACATCTTGATCCATGTTTTCTTGTGCACATGTTTTCTTTACCAAAGAATTGCCAAGTCATCCTCCAGAGTAGTCTCAACCAACACTCCCATGAGCAAAGAATGAAGAAATCCCATTTTCAGCATCCTTCAAAAAAGCTTTAATCTGACAACCTGATAGATATTAAATGATATCCCACTGTTGTTTTAATAAGAATTTCCCTGATTACTAGTAACATTAGTTTATAAGTTTTTTTTTTTCTTTTGCCGTTAAGTTTTTCCTGTGCAAATGGCTTGTTCGTAAATCTTGTCCATTTTTCAATTTGGTTGTAATCTCGTTTTTATACACTTCTTGCATTAAACAAAACCTCAAATTAATTTTCAGACATTTGAATGGTCTAAATCTAAAATAACAAAAATGAAGATACCCTAAGTCACAAACAAATGCCTGCAGAGGCCAGCCAAGCAGGTGATTGCAGTAGGTCAAGTGCAAGGCATGCATAAAGGTGTGCATAAAAGGAGAGGAAAAGAGACACTTCTTGGAGCCAACCAATTATTGCCGAACTGAAAAGCAGACTTAGTGTTGGTAGGTCTTTCAATTTTAAAGAAGCCATAAGTTCAGATTTCATGTGCAATCTCCTTATTTTTAACTGATGACAACTAACTAAAAATTTCAATAAAAAACACTGTGTAGACCAAACAAAACCCTTATGGAGGTCAAGAGTGCCTTGAGATTGCTGAACAGACCACAAAACTAGGTAAGGATACAGGAGTAATGTAATATCAATTTTATAGGAAAAGCTATACCTAAGAGTAGTAATTTTATTAACAACCCATACATAAATAATATTATTTTTAAACTAAAATTATCTGGCCTATATTACAGACAGAATGTTATTAAGCCTATATATAACAGACTGTCAAAATCTCTAACCCACAAAGTATTGATTCATTATATATTTCTGCTCATTAAAAAAATAAATAAAAATCTGCCTTGGCCATTATGGCTCAGTTTGTTGGTGCATCATCGCATACACCAAAAGGTTGGGGGTTTGATTCCTAGTCAGCACACAAACTTAGGTTGCAGGTTCAGTCCTCAGTTGGGGCAAATATGGGAGGCAACCAATTGATGTCTCTCCAATTGATGTTTCTCTCTCACCTCTACGTTTCTCTCTCTCTCCCTCTTCCCCCTTCCTCTCTCTCACTAAAATCAATAAACATATTTTTTAAAAATCTTTCTCATAAATCAAATCTTCCTGTTCCTAAACAAAAGTGTCACTTAATAAACATGTTTTAATTTAGTAAGTGGTAAAAGTCCTCCACAGTATTTATTTCACCAGAACATACTTAAATAGCACTAAAACTTTTCTGTCTTAACTGGCCACTTATAGCAAGCACTACATTTGAACAAAAACAAACACACACACACACACAAAAAAAACCTGAAAATTTTCTTTTCAGAAAATGACTTTTAAAAAATTCAGAAACAGAGAAACGAAGCACTTACTGGGTGTTCTCCAAAGGGTAAAATGAATCAAAACATTCCGGAGTTTGAAATTTATGCCAACAGAATAATAACTGGTTTAGTTATGCATCTTAATCTTTATCTAGGCAACCATATTTTCATCCATCAACATCTACAGTGAATTTAATGGTAGCCAAGCAGTTAATCTACCAATGGCAAGATACCTATACAACATTATATATGCCAAATGATACTACATTTACTGCACTACTATTATAACATTCTGAGGGAAAGAGTACACTTTGGAAAGGTATAGTGCACTCACATCGATGTTTCTCTCCCTTTCTCCCCTCCTTCCCCTCTTTCTAAAATAAATAAATAAAATCTTAAAAAAAAAAAAAAAAAAAAGAACTTGCCCTGGTTGGTGTGGCTCAGTGGATTGAGTGCCAGCCTGCAAACCTAAAGGTCACCAGTCCAATTCCCAGTCAGGGCAGATGCCTAGGTTGTGGGCCAGATCCCCAGGTGGGCCCACGTGAGAGGCGACTGATCGATGTTTCTCTCTCCCTCTTTCTCCCTCCCTTCCCTCTCTCTAAAAATAAATAAAATCTTTAAAAAAATCCACTCAAATTTTAAAAATCAGTATAGTCTCATATTAGAGACGCATTTTAAACAACAGGATAATCCACAGAAAGTGCATTTTGTAGCATTTAGTGCCTGAGACACAGTAATCACTTAATAGACATTATTAAGGACACACACGAAGACCAAGATTAAATGGACTCTAATCATAAAGATGTTACTTTGAGTATCACCTAACAATATATAAATGCCTGAACAGAATGATACAAAATTTAAGAACTATGTACTATAATACATAGCACTTTGGATATCAGCATATATACATACTGCCCAAAGAAGGTAATTAAAATATCCATATAGATTTAAGTGTATGCTTGTTTGAATACTATACTATAATGCTGCTCTTTTTGATGCTTTCCCAACAATAGCACCAACCTGCTGATTCTGTATGTGATTTCTCACATATTAACATTATGTTAGTGCATATTACCTGTATGTTTCACAATAAAAAATAAAGCTAATATTGCAAAGGAACTTTAGCGTTAAGATCTTTAGTTTCCAAGCTCAAAAAAGAGCAAAATATTAAAGCAGGCATATAAAATTGTGTTAATACCAAGATCATGTTCAATTTTCCCATTTGATGCTATTAAAGAATGGAACGTTAGTGTATCTTCTTTGTTTCAAATCCAGGGTTAAGTCTTCCTGCAGTCTCACCAGAGTGCACTTCAACAGAACCAAAGATGAGTAACAGCTCTGCTGAAGAGGCAGCTTGACCATTTGTAAGAATTTTACAGAAGTTTCCTAAGAGCTAGGAAAGCAGCAATCTGAGACAATTTTTTTTCCTGAATGAGTCTTTACCACCACCACTCAGAAATACATCTTACATGCACTATGGTAAGACTCAAGAGGTTTTTTCCAATTGCCAAAGTCCTGATATTTTAGCAAAAGGAAATCTCCAGTGTGACAATCCCAAACAACACTCAGTCTGAAGCTTGAGTCACTTGGCCTAACAAGCATTTCCATCGTTAAAATTTTGTAATAATTGTTGTCTTTGTAGAACAGGGCAGTAATTTCTAAAGACAGGAGCAAATAATTAGTAAACACAGGTTGAGCCAAGTTTTCTAACAAAAGGGACACTGAAAAGGGCAAGCTGGACAAAGTCGTAATAACTGCCATTAACGTAAAAATGTTAAACATACAGAATATTGCTATTTTTTGTCTGTGGTTTCTTATATACACAACGAAACTTTTAAACTACACATAGGAATGATACTCACCTACCTAAAAGAGAGAAGTTACCTTGGGGGTGTGGGTGGGAAGAGATGGAAGTGGGCTTTAGTGATCTGCGACATTTGAAGCAAATGGGGCAAAATATTAGTATCTGCTAAATCTAGGTAGTGGGTTACTTTTCAGTATTTCTAAAATATGTTCTAATTTAAAATAAAAACTTAAAGTGATTACAAGTGGCCAAATAGACTGAGAACTGCATGTTCGTATGGTATTCAACATGAAGTCTCCAAGATATGGAGAATTTCAGTTAACAACAAAACAGCTACTAAAAAACTCAGTCCTTTGCCACTGACTCACATATAGATTAGAATAAAACTTACTTTACAATAAGAGCAGGCTCATTTATGTAGCAAAGTTCAGAAGTTTCATAGATAATTTACTACTTAAGACCACATTTATCCAGATTGTATTGAGCAATATCAATTATCCAGAACCAGGAAGTTAAAAAAAAAAAAAAAAGCCTGTATGAAAAGTCAGAATACGTGATACAAAGTCCATATTATAAAGCTCATACCCTTCATTCAGAAGAGAATCTACCAAAGCCTCACTTGGAAATTTCTCTTTAAATTCAAACAAGCTTGTTTGTCTGGTTACTTAGACTTTTCAGATCAAGTTCAATAAAATAGATTAGGGAAGGAAATTTCACAACAACAACAAGGCACAATAAGCAGCAAAAAATAATAACCTAGAGTAAGGAAAACAAAACTTTAAAGAACAAATATGAAATTAATAAATCATAGTACATAGTTCTGGGCAATCTATGGCTGTAAGTATCAATGACAGATGTTCAGAATGATGTCCAGTATTTTAAAAAAGAAGAAAAGAAACAAATCTAGATTATGAGGAATTAGAGAATTTTAAAAAATATACTTTACGAATATTTCCATCCTAATCAGAAAATATTTTTTAAATTCTAAATGCCTCAATGGGTAAGCTTCACTCATCTGGAAATTTCACTGCAGAATTCATTGCCAGATGACATTTGATAAAGCTTAACATACAAAAGTTTCTGAGGCCTACGGCTGGTGTGGCTCAGTGAATTGGGCTCCAGCCTGCAAACCGTAGGGTTGCCAATTCAATTCCCTGTCAGAGTACATGTCTGGGTTATAGGCCAGGTCCCCAGCTGGGGTTGTGCAAGAGGCAATCTACTGATATTTCTCTCACACACTGATGTTTCTCTCCCTTTCTTTCTCCCTCCCTTTCCCTCTCTCTGTAAATAAATAAACAAAATCTTTTTTTAAAAAAATGTTTTAGGTGTTGCCTCATGAATATCTTTCAAGAAACAAAATAACAAATCTGAAGAAATTCAATTCCTTATCATTGACTTTCAAATTTAATTTCTTAAGGCCATTTAGTGATCTAGCACAATGCTGGACAAATTGTTAATTTTATCATTTTTAAAGTAATAAAAAAACTACCAAAATGACAGCATAGAAAATATGCAAAATTTGAGCAGAAAATTCCGTAACACAGAGTTGACAATAATATCCATTTAGCCAAGTTTTAGTCTGCCAAACAAACAAGTGCCAATTTAGTCATCAAGAACATGAATATTTTGTTGGTGGAGGCCAGGGATTCTCTAGTATATCCTGACTTCTTGGCCTTAAAGGATTAAGTTAATTTCTCTGGCACAGGGGAAACAGTTCCATAAGAAATCCAATTACTATATAAACCACTATACAATCATTACAAAAAACTATAGCCACTCACGTGAACTTGTAATCTATTTTTTAATTATCCACAAAGAATGTCAGAATTTGAAATAGCTACAAAAATCCATTGCTCTCAAATATTCTGATGTAAAGGGAGGAGGGAAGGAATCTCCCATTTCTCTAGGTCACTGATTTTCAACCTTTTTCATCTCATGGCACACATAAACTAATTACTAAAATTCTGTGGTACACCAAAAAATATTTGCTTATCTGACAAAAAAAAAAAGGTATAATTTTAATTCATTCACACTGGATGGCTATTGTGTTGGCTGTTGTCATTTTTTAATTTGACAATCTATAGGAAAAGAGGTCAGTGCCCCTGATTATATAGTTGGGTATTGCATGTTTTAAAAATTCATGCAACACACCAGTGTGCCTGCCACGGCACAGCAGTTAAAAATCACTGCTCTAGGCCCATGATAATACCTTTTAAAGCTTACTGAGTTAGACCACACTCACTTGTGTGAAAAACAACTCCTTTTTAAATTAGCGCACATTGGTTAAATTTCTTCACCTTCCCCAGGAGTCCACACCCCAGACCAGGTTAAAAATCCACCAAGTTTCTAATATATAACCTGTACAAATACTCCAGGCTTATCATAAAATTCTGCAACTAAAGCAATCAGGCAACTTGCATACTTTGTGTAATGTGATTCCAACTCTTAGGAAACTGACCCAATACTAATTATAAATCTAGGTTTGTAGAGATGTAATTTTGTCCACATTTTTAGATTTCCACTATACCACCTAATGCCACAACTTATGCTCCAATGCATGGATCTCAAAAATATTAACATATGCTTTTTACTAGTAATGTTAACTTTTTACTAATGTTAATTCCTCTTTACACTTCCAGAGGCGGCAATTCAAACAATTAAAGAGTCCAACTGTCCTTTAATAACACCTGTTAGAATCCACTATAATGCCACCTTTCATTTGCGTTGCCACCTAGCCTGAAAGGATTTCTGAAGAGAAATGCTTTGAAAAGCTCAAGTTACTGAAAAAGATTCATTTATTTCCTTGTATCAAATTAACAAGTCTCTGCTAATATGGAGCACAAGTCCCTCAATGGCCCAAACCAGTCTTTAAATATTTCTCATCTCCTTGGAAAAGCAAGTAGAAAAGGGATAAGAAGTATTGGGTTGGCCAAAAAGTCCATTTAGTTTTTTCCGTAAAATAGAAGATATATGTTTCATTTTCACCAATAACTTTATTGATTTGGATATTTTGAGTGTATCAGCTATCTCCCGCTATTGGCTTCTAGTGGGCAAAGGCCAGGGGGCTGCTAAACATCTTCCAGTGTGTAAGGCGGCCCCACAGCAAAGAATCATTTGGCCAAAATGTCCATGGTACCAAGGACCTTCACAAACCACTTTCAACATGCTCAATCAGTCACAGCATCTTCTCCACACATGCATAATTTTTTTGTGTGTTTCAGTTGCATTTTTCACCTTTCTTGAAATAATATAGCATAACACACCAAAAGTGTTGCGTATTCTTCTGTCTTCAATATTTAAATGGCTGCAGAAAAATTCACCAATTTTGATAAGCTTTTTTTTAAATGCATACTGATATGACAGCTGTCACAATACAATCTAACAAAATTGTTGAGAATGAAGCTAAAGATAACCAAGCAGTACTAGAACCATCATACGGAAAAGAACTATACAAACTTTTTGGCCAACCCAGTATACCACCGCTTGTTGTTCTATCCGGACACTTAAATAAAACTGTCACTTCCTAATAAAATAATCATTTAAAAATATTTATTGACAATTATCTTCTGAAAAATTTCCCTAAATATGTATTTCTCTCAAAATTATGAACCTATTATGCCAAAAAATGAGGTAAAGAAACCAGTGATTTTTTTAAATGTTAGTCTTTTCACATAATGCGAACTCATTCATCACTAGGTCCTTCTTCCTTTGCCAAGTCACAAGACACTACTGTTTACAATCCCTCCCATCTGCCCCCTGCCAATATATATCAAACACTCTAGTTACTTGTCTTAAACAAACACCATCTCCCAAATAACCCTCTGAAATCCTAATTTAGACCCCAGATGCATTCATCCTGATTCATATTCTTCATGGAAAAATTCTAAATCACCTGACTTTCACAGGGTTAAGTTTTGCCTTTTGATGCAGCCAGACCCGGGAGCCCTCATGCTTTCACACAAGTGCCCCAAATCTGACAGTATACTTTTTAATTCTACACTTTTAGACATATTTTTAATCTGAGTACTAAGCTTTCAAAGGCAACTGCCAACTTCCAACTCATTCAAACACCAGTCTACATTTCTTTCTTTCATTTGGCTGCTACATACACACCCTATTCTTTTAGGTTGAGGCCTACTGATTTTTCCTCCTGCCAGCACTGGAAAGAAAAATGAAACAAAATATTTTTACCATCATTCTTTTCCAAGATAACTGCTAAACGTTCCCATTTTTCATTACAGATTTCACATAACATATATGGTATCACAAATGTCTACTGTTCAGGACCTTTGTAGGGCACCAACAGGAATGGTCTCCGAAATCAAGCAACACTTTAGATCATGCTGCGAGGGGGTGAGGGGCGGTGGGGAGAACATGATTCACCAAAAACTGCAATGAAGAGTAATGGAATATTTTCACCAGTGGTAGGCTAAAACTAATAGCTTCTTTCAGAGAAGGGCACTGCTAAGCAACCATCGCTATAGCAATAAATCCACCTGCTTCAAAGGCTGCAAAACTAGAAGATGGAAGGAAAAGCGGAGATGGGGTCCTCCTTCGGCTTCTCTAGGGGTTAGCAGAGAATCAAGTCACTGCTGCACTGTCACTTGAGGAGAAGGGGAGGGGGGAGGGGCGGATCATCTTTGAAACCCAGCCCCTGGGCCGGAGCAGGCGGGGAGAATTCAGCAAGGCTGCCTGGGATTAACATTCTCCTCACCCTCTCCCCCCTTCCAGAATGTCCCCTCCTCGCTAACGCTCAGCGGCCGCAGGAGTCCCAGATGACCGCCCCTTCCAATGTGTCCTCCGTGGGGCGTAGGTAGAACCATAGAAAAGAACTGAGTCAGGAAGCTGAGACAGAGAGCGGACTCTGATGACCCCTCTGGCCTCTCCCAATACCCTCCAGCCTCTTCCAAAGCCCTACCAAGCCCGGAAGGGCCAGGGGTCAGTGGAAATACCCCGCACAGGTGTGCTCGCCCCGGACGGCGCAAGGGTCGGGCCTGCCGGCTTCCGCAGCGCTCCCCGCAGCGCGGCCCGCGCCCCGGCTCAGCAGGGCAGAGCACACCAGCCCAGGCGCCCCGCGGCCGCCCCAGAGGGGCGCGCCCGTCCCGGAGCCAGCCTCCCCAGTCCCAGGCCCGCAGCGCCGAGGCCCTCCCGCCAGCCCGCGCTGCCGGCCGGGCCCCCAGCCTAGCCCGCGGGCGCGGCCTAACTGCTTGCTCGGCAGCTCGCCCCCGGCGCCCGAGGGTCGCCGTACCTGGGCGGCGGCCTCCAGCTTGCCCTCGAAGGTGAAGTCCAGCAAGTCGGGTTTGAGGCAAAGACTGTAGTTGATGGGAGAGACATCGGTAGGCAGCCTCTCGAAGGGCCTCTTCTCTGGCATCGCGGCGAGGCCCAGGCTGTGGAGGCGGCGGCGGCGGCGGTGAGAGGAGCGGCTGAGGAGGAGAAGGAGGAGGGGAGGAGGCGGAGGGCCGAGAAAGAGCAGGCGGCGAGCGAGGGAGGGGGCGGCGGCTGCCAGCCACATCCACCGAGCGCGGACGACCGCCTTAGGAGAGCTACCGGGGGAGCCTGGGGGGCTGGGGAGAGACCCAGCCCGAACACCAGGGGCCAGGAGGGAGTCAATGCGGGCGGGTTGACTGCCTACGGGGAAGGGGGCGGAGGGGAGGGCAGGGGAGGAGGGCCTGGAGGGAGGGAGCGAGGGAGGGAGGCGGTGGCAGCGGCGGCAGCTGCGTGCGCGGCCCCGCCGGCCGGGGCGCGCCCCCGCTGGTGTGTGCGCGCGCCGGGGCAGGGGCGGGGCGGGGCGGGGCGGAGAGGCTTTGGGCGGAGGGGCGGAAAGGCTCGGGGTCGCGGGCGCGAGCTGTGGGCTGAAGGAGGCCCGCGGCGCTGCACCTGTCGGCGTCGCTGGGGAAAGAGGAAAGCCTTCTACAAGGAGCCCAGAAGGATTTGAGAAGCGGAGGGAAAGGTGTGAGGCCCCCCCACCCCCAGCTGTCTTTGGAAATTGAAGCCTAGGTAGTTTGTCAGTGCTATCAGGGTTAAATGTTAAAATATCAACTTAGAGCAAAAAGCTAAAATAGATTTTTACCTCCAGATTAGTGGAGAGCCATAACCAGGGGCTCTTTAGCCATAATTATTCCTATTACAAGTATCAACTTCCAAGGGATGATATGAAAAAATCAGTCAGAAAACCTTTAATAATCCATGTTATCTAGACCAGCCTATTTGGACCTTTGAGGGAGTGATTTCAAAAGTTAGAAAGATATTTGTTTCTATGATTTAATGGTCAAAATAAGAAATGTTTTATCCTTTTCCATTTCCATTGCTTTTTTTTTTTTTTAATCCTTTACTAATTGTGGCCTCTTGAAAGGTAAACTAGCTGTGGTGGCTCCCTCAGTTCTGTAACTATCTTGCAAATTGAGGTATATACATATTCTTAAATAAAGATATATATTAATTACATACAAATATGTATATATTTTAAAATATTTTAAAGTATTAAGGGCAAGGAGATTTATCTATAATCCCCATATGCCTTTGTAGAACCTTTTCACGTAGAACCCCTTAATTTCCAAACTCAGTAATGAATGTTGTACTGGACCAGCCCTGTACAATAGAAATATAATGTGAGCCAACTAGCTTTAAATTTTCTAGTAGCCACATCAAAAATCTAAAAAAAGGAAAAAGGAAACAAATGACATTGACATATCTTATTTAACCTAACATATCTAAAATATTATCATTTCAACATGTAATCAATATAAAGATATTAACGATTTTTTTCCTGTACTAAAGCTTTGAAATCCAGTGTGTATTTTACATTTACAACACATCGCAATTCTGACTAACCACATTTTAGATGTTCAGTAGCCCCGTGTGACTGGTGGCTATTGTATTAGCACAGTCTGGGACACTGGGCTTGCCTTCTTCATCCTCTGAATCCTATACACCTTTTTCTTTAAAAATTTTTATTTATTTTTTTTTAGAGAGAGAGAGAAAGAAAGGGTTTGAGACATACATATGAGAGAGAAACAGGGATCAGTTGGCGATCAGTTGCCTCTCTCACACAGACCAAACCCACAATCCAGGCATGTACCCTGACTGGGAATTGAACCGGCAACCTTTTGCTTTGCAGAAAGATGCCCAACCAACTGAGCCACACCAGCCAGGGTCTTACATACCTTTAAAGATAGATGGAAAACCTGCAGTCCTTTCAAACTAACATGTGAGACTGGGCCTTTTTTTTTTACATGGATACACTTCTATGACTGCTCCTTAGTCATAGAAATAATAATAGAATGATAATCTAATTAACTGATAATTGAATGATAATGTATTGAGGGTTTGCTAAACACTTTTCGTGTATTAATTCATTTAATCCTTTCAACAACTCTATTAGGTGGATACGATTTTCCACATTTTACAGATGAGAAAACAGGTACACAGATTTAGTGACTTGCCCAAGGCCATAGCTAGTTAAGTGGTAGAGCCGGCATTAGGATCCGGCTCTTTCCCCATCCCCCCTCTCCTGGAAAAATTTACAACAGTTTTTCTGTTTTTCTAAGCCTCCAGTTTTGTTTTATTCTAATATATCTGTATCTCAGTCTTCTTAAAAAGTTTTCTTCAAAGAAAAGGATTTTATTTATTTATTTTTAGAAAGAGGGGAAGGGAGGGAGAAAGAGAGGGAGAGAAACATGGATGTGCAGGAGATACATGGATCCGTTGCCTCTTGCACACCCCCAACAGGGGCCTGCATCCAAGGCATGTGCCCCGACCAGGAACCGAACCCGCAACCTTTCAGTTCCTAAGCCAGCACTCAATCCACTGAGCCACACCAGCCAGGGTGAAAAGTTATTTTCATTATGCAAGAACCCATAAGGCTCTCTTTTGTCAAAGAAAATTCAATTTATAACCACTTTAGGCTCTCTGTGAACTATCTTTACCATTTTGGTTTTTTGTTCGTTTGTTTCTTCTTATCCTTTAGTATAGATCCTCCAGTCTTAGCAAGCTAATCTGTTTACAGTTTGGCTCTTATATCTTGGCCCATTCTCTCTTCTCTACCATTGCCCATGCATTACTGTGGGAAAGATCTGATCCTTTTCAGCATACCCATGCCTCTCCCTTCCTTTAAAATTCATCTTTTCCAGGTGGTCTTCATTGACTAACTCTACCCCATCCTAACCCATTTTCCATCAGCTCCTAAGTACTGGCTTTTGCTGATTTATTTGTACTTGTTTCTGTTGTTCTGTAGTTGTATTTTTAATTTGTTTTTATATGGATATCTTCTCAAGATGTACTGCTAGCAGGAGATTGATTTCAAATTCTTTTATAACTGTCAGTACTGAGCCCTGACCAAAGTACAACTCAGTTGTTATTGACCTAATTAACCAATCAACCAAAAGAGAATATTTTTCCAGTCTGTAGCCTTTCCTATATGTACAAGATGTGTGGCCCATTATGTGAACCTAAGACAAGAGGCAACCTTATTTTATAAAATCACAGAAAATGATTTTAAGACCAAAACCAAAAATATACTGGGGCCATATAGACTTTATGGCACCAGTAATCATGACCTGCTGAGGAAAAAGTGGAAAAACATAATTGGCCCCATCCGTAGTCCGAAGACCCAAGAGGTTCCAATGTAACAAGTCAAGGGTAAACTCAGCCTACTACCTACGACTTGATATAGGGGAATTGAGGTTCTCATATAGTCCCATAAAAAAAGACTAGCTAACAGTCTCACATATGCTTGAGGCAGGCTTCTCTGGAATAACAAATGAAGAACACAAGTACTCTTGGAAATTCATTTCCCTCAGAGAGGAGGGGTATTTTGAGGGACTGGGTGGAAAAAGGTGAAAGGGTTGCCCTGGCCCATGTGGCTAAGTTGATTGTAGTGTCATCCTGTAAACCAAAAGGTCGCAGGTTGGGTTCACGGTCAAGGCACGTGCCTAGGTTGCAGTTTGGTCCACATCGATGTTTCTCTCCCTCTCTCTCTCCTTCCCCTCTCTCTAAAATCAATATGTATGTCCTCTGATTAGGATTTAAAAAAGAGAGAGAGAAAGATGAAAGGATTAAGATGTACAGATTGGTAGTTACAAAATAGTCACAGGGCTGTAAAGTACAGCATAGGGAATATAGTTGATAATATCGTAATAACTATGTATGGTGCCAGGTGAGTACTGGAAACACCAGGAGGAACACTTTGTAAACTATACGAGTGTCTAACTCCTATGCTGAACACCCGAAACGAATACGAAATAATATTGAATGTAAAGTGTAATTGAACCACCCCCCAAAAAGAACAAGGTTGAACCCTGACTGGTGTGGCTCAGTGGATTGGGCGTCATCCTGCAAACCAAAAGGTCACCAGTTCAATTCCCAGTCAGGGCACATGCCTGGGTTGCGGGCAAGGTCCCAGTTGGGACCTTGCAAAAGGCAACGCATCAATGTTTCTCCCGCACATCGATGTTTCTTTCCCTCTCTCTCCCTCCTTTCCCTCTCTTTAAAAATAAATAAAACCTTTTAAGAAATAAATAAATAAAATCTTAAAAAAAGAACTAAGGTTGAATATGTTCTATACTTAGATTTTTGTGGTTGTTGCACAGCTCTGTGAATGTGCCCAAAACCAAACATTACAGGGGTGAATTTTATGGTATGTGAGTTATATTTCAATCAACATTCTTTAAAAATAAAATAAAATTATAGTGGATACCCAATACTGTAATATGATAATATTAGGTCCAATGAACAGCCTTTGATTTACAAAAAATTTCATCTCCCTCCATGGTACTTCAGAAGGAGAGGGGAGGTCAGTACTGGGTCAAAGTCATTAGTTCTGCCTCTAACAGATTTCTAGGCTTCTTTATGCAAGCTGGAAAACATATGTAAGTTGGAAAACCTATGCAAGTTGTATACTTCACTAAAAAGTTAAGAAAAAATGAATCAAAGTCGCTGTACTCTTAGGCACTTTTGTCTTTAGTTTTCAAGCAGCAGTCTAAGTCTGATCACATAGTCCCAATTTCATCACTGACTTGTCTATGACCTAGAGCAAGTCTTACTAATTTCTCTGCTTCAGTTTCCCCATTTGTAAAGCAGGTAAGGTGCATAATGTGTGTTTTTCTTAAAAAAAAAAAAAGTATTATTATACCTGTGGTTTGGGGATTTCTTTGGGAAAAAAAAAAAGACTATCATGTTCTTAATGTCAGAATGGACTTCACAGCAAGAGTGGTAGATAAATAGTGTAAAGGATATATTAAGCAAATTATTGAAAGAGGTGTTTCAAAGCAAAGAAAATATAAAGGAGTTGGCTTAGAGAGCCAAAATATTCAGGCAGGAGAGAAAGACACACTGGCTATGAAACATTAAAGAGGGAAGATAAGATGTAGAAGAGTTTGGAAGGCTGTTATAAAACCCACCACATTAGATGAAAATAAAGCATTACTATTATTATTTAGCCTCCCTGACTTAGAAATTGTGGCCTCCAATGTCAATTTCAAGCATGGAAATTATAACTCTAATTTCACTAATATAAATCTTACATGCAGAAGATGGTAAAGAGGTTCCAAAAACCAGCAACACAAAAAGTTGACGAGCAAGCCATAGGAAGCTCATGCCCCAAAACCCCAACCTCAACTCTTTTCTGTGACTTAAAATGGCTGTTGGGATGACTGTTGGAAATGTGGGGAGTAGAT